CTGAAAAGCAAAGGTTAAGGTTTTTTATTTATGGTGAGAAAAATGTTTCCTTAGTTAAAGGTTGTATAAATATGCCCTCCTGTGGCCAAATGATGGATTGCAAGTACTGAAAAATGCTCAGATGTTGCAGTTAAGGGGAAAACACACTGGTCAGACGGAACAATAGGATTTACATGCTCTAAGTGCTAAGAATAGGAAGAAATGGCACTGCCTAAAAACAGGAGTTAAAATTTGCCTCCAAACACATGCATCACCTTGCCCTATTTCTTATGACCTTCGGCAGGATCAAAATACAGCTTCACAGTACAAAAAGGCAGACTTGCTTACATGGACCTTGTCTATGCTACTAGCTGTGTAATCATCAGTATGTAGAAAGGAACAGGATTTCCCAGTTTTTCTCTCTTTGGCTCACTGTTAGCGGTTTGTACTGAACTATGGGCAGCGCCTCATCAATTTATGTAAGGTCAAAGCATTCCTAGAACTCCGTTGTCGCAGCACAACAAGTTCTATGGCATACGTGTTTGTTGTGTGACGACGACGCTGCCAGTTTTGCAGAAAGTTGAGTGGGCTAAATGAGGACAAGACCTATCCTTTCAGTACCACGATCCTTTGGAAAAACCCTCCTTCCCCTCCTGTGCTGATGTGCTGTGCAAGGAAGGGAACAGATGCTTAGCAGAGTGCCCATGGCAACCAGTCCTTGGGTTTCCTAGGTGATTCGCTGGCTGATAGCCAAAGGGAAGAACGGTGACAAAAGTTAAACGCAAGGCAGAAGAAACACATTTGCACTCAGGTGAAACAGGGCTGCAAGCAACCACCCAAAAGTTGAAATGTTCAGGTCAACGTCCTGGCAGGATGGTTTTATTGATTCACAATATTTATATCCCAGCTTTTCACAGTTCTGTCTACTACAGGTTGGTGACAAAGTTGCTGGGGGCACAGTCTCTTTAAGTGACCCTCCATTTTTTACATTTATTACTACTAATAATAATTGTATTATTTATATTCTGCCCATCTGGCTAGGTTGCATTTAGACATGGGGCATACTGCATTAGTTTCCCTGTTATCCTGCTAGTATTGCTGCCCCATTTTCTAATAGGTACGTGGGTGGTGCTGTGGTCTAAACCACTGAGCCTCTTGGGCTTGCTGATCAGAAGGTCAGTAGTTCAAATCCCAGTGGCAGGGTGAGCTCCCGTTGCTTGGTCCCAGCTCCTGCCAAACTAGCAGTTGAAAGCATGCCAGTGCAAGTAGAGTAAATGGGTAAATCTGTGGCAGGAAAGTACCGTAAATGGTTTTCTGTGTGCTCTGGTTTCCATCACAGTGTTCTGTTGCACCAGAAGTAGTTTAGTCATGCTGGCCACATGACCCGGAAAGCTGTCTGTGAACAAACACCGGCTGCCTCAGCCTGAAAGTGAGATGAGTGCCGCAACCCCATAGTCGCCTTTGACTGGACTTAACCGTTATGGGGTACCTTTTAAAAAGGTAAAAGTAAATCGTGAACGATTCTGGGGTTGCGGCACTCATCTCACTTTACAGACTGAGGGAGCCGGCATTTGTCCGCTTCTGCAGACAGTTTCTGGGTCATGTGGCCAGCATGACTAAGCCGCTTCTGGTGAAGCCAGAGCAGCACATGGAAACGCCGTTTACCTTCCCGCTGGAGTGGTACCTATTTATCTACTTGCACTGTGTGCTTTCAAACTGCTAGGTTGGCAGGAACTAGGACTGAACAATGGAGGCTCACCCCATCTCGGGGCCTCGAACCGCTGACCTTCCAATCAGCAAGTCCAAGCGGCACAGTGGTTTAAACTACAGCGCCACCCACGTCCCTCACCTTTACCTTTACCTTACCCATTTTATAATGTTCCTTTCACAATGTGCAGTACCTGTTGTGTCAGGGGCCTGCGGAGCTTTGACTAGTATACCGGCACGTCAATCTACTTGAAGATACTTGTGAAGGAACACACACTTCGGCTCTCGGGATTCAGTTCTGCAGGGTGCTGTTTCCCAATCACCTTTCCTTGCTAAGCAGCACCCCACAGGATTGAAACTCTGCTGGTGGTGATCATCTGCCCACATCACCTCCTCCTTCTCCTGCCTGACTATATGTTTAATTAGTTAAACAACAACAACCAACCCCTAAATAAACATTATTTCTGCCCCTAGTTTATTTCAGGGCCGGATCTGGGTTAGGTGCTCCCTGGGTTAGATGGGTGTGACTCTGCAAGGCCTATTATCTATAAAAATGATTGCATTTATTTAGAAGGTCAGTGTTTTAAGTGGATGTCGGGTGCTTGTTGGGTTTGAGGACATTGCTCCGGTGCAGTGTCAGAAAAGGTTCTTAGTTGGCTGCACAGGGCCGGCTCTGCTGCTAGGCACGGTGAGACAGCTGCTTCAGACTGAAGATTCTGGGAGGCAGGCAGAGGCAGGAAGGTAGTAGAGGACAGAGCTGTGTGTGCCTTGCAACCCCTTGCTAACTTTAGGTGCAGTAAGGTTGCTGTCCCGCCACCAGTGCTGAACTAAGATTCAGCTGCCAGTTTAGTCTGTTTCTGTTAATGGGGTTGCAGGGTGTGGTCTTGTCCTTCACCTCAGGCAACAAAATACATTGGGTTGGCCCTGTGGCTATGTTAGCATACAACTGGAAGTATAGGATGTACACACACCCATGATGAAAGCATGAATCCTGCAATGCACCTTTAGAGGACATGTTGGTTCAGCATTCTCCCTATATGATCAGCAGCAAATTTTATCACCAGTTGTTATTACCAGTTCAGTTCAGTAGAGGGCAAAAGAGACTGTCGTCATTTCATACTGGAACTTGCACAGAGGCATGAAAATTAACAAGACCTTGGAGGCTTATACACAACTGGAAACAATGCTAAATTGGGTTATGGCTGCTTCACACCGTTTTTCTATACACAGTCATTTTAATTTCCTCTAATACGTCGCTGCAGTGCCAATGAAAATACTGGGAATCAGTTTCTGACACTGGGAAATGTCACAGGAATGTTTTTTTCATCAGTCTCTTGGAAATCATGCTTTATCCACTGGAAAACGATTAACAAAAGTGCTCTTTTGATTTTCCATGAACTCAGCAGAATTCACAATCAGTCCTTATGTCCCTTTTTTGCTTAATTTTTGCTACCATGACTTGCTGAAGTCACCATTCCCCAGGGTTCAGCTGTTCTGCTCTACAGACTCTCTAGAATCTAATGTTACATTTTCAGGGTGGAGAGGGGACACATTTTGCCTCCCGCAATGTCTACCCCCTGCCAAAGCAGGCACCATGTAACACACAGCATGGTATTCATATGTTTATTAGATACGTGGTTTTTATACCCTCCAGGACAGATCACAATATCAAATATGTAATAGAAATAAGACACATACACAGAGGGACAGTAAAAGCAACCTAACACCCAAAGCTGCAAAAATCAGCAGCGGTAAAGAATCAGCACCAACCGCTCCAGAGTCAGCATCAACTTCTGTGTACGTACCATACATTTTAAAACATTGCAGGGGGTTGGACTAGATGACCCTTGGGAACTGTAGTTTGTGAAGGGTGCCGGGAACTGTAGCTCTGTGAGGGGCAAACCTCAGTTACCAGGATTCTTGGGGAAATAATAACGTGCATTAAAGGCATGTGTGCAGCTATCATGTGCCTGTTTTTTTTGTAGACAACTCTGTGCACTTCTGGTTTCCTCCTCACAAAGCGTTTCTTCAGAAATGGCTCTTCTTTAGAAAGCAGCCGGTTGGGAGCAAAGCAGAACAGCGCATTTTGTGTAATAGTGGGGCGGAAGTTCAAATAGTGATCCTGAGATATCCTTATATTTTGGGGGGACAGTTGCCTATTCCTGCAATGCAGGGAGTTGGACGAGAATCCAGGGGTTCCCTGACCTTGGGTCTCCAGTTGCTGTTGGACTACAACTCCCATCATCCCTAGCTAGTGGGGACCCGCGGTCAGGGGTGATGGGAATTGTAGTCCAAAAAGCAACAACTGGCGACCCAAGGTTGGGATACCCTGACTCTGATCCTCAGGGTCCCTTCCAAGTCGACGGTTCTGTGAAAGGTCCTGTTGGACTACAGTGGTACCTCGGGTTAAGTACTTAATTCGTTCTGGAGGTCCGTTCTTAACCTGAAACTGTTCTTAACCTGAAGCACCACTTTAGCTAATGGGGCCTCCTGCTGCCACTGCGCTGCCGGAGCACGATTTCTGTTCTCATGCTGAAGCAAAGTTCTTAACCTGAAGCACTATTTCTAGGTTAGCAGAGTGTGTAACCTGAAGCGTATGTAACCTGAAGCGTATGTAACCCGAGGTACCACTGTATAGAGAATTTAATGGATTATGGAAGATCCTAAGGGATCTAAAGGGATGGAAGTGAAGAACAGAGGTAAAGGAGAATTAAACAACAAAAGAAGTGTGGTTTAGGCGGTGGAAGTCTTTTAAGATATTTTAATTAAGATTTGTATTTTATAATGTGTAATTTTGGAATTACTGTTTATGGAAAACAGCATTTTCTTTCTTTTTTTCTTTTTCTTTTCCTTTGGTTTTTTTTTTCTTTTTTCGTTTCTTCTTACTCTTTAGCTTCTTTCACAGTTTATGTGTGGCAAATATGTAAACAACTGCGTTTTTGCAGATATGTCTGGAAATTTGATTGTATTATTCAATAAAGTTATATTTTAATTTTTTATTTTTATTTTTAAAAGGTCCTATTGGGAAGAGAGCGAGAGCCACCCCTTTCGAGCGGGTTGCTGGCTGCTGCTTCGGGCTCGACGAGCCCCCTGGCTGAGGTAACTTGAGGGGAACCACGCGCCCCTGAAGGAAAAAGCGGGACGTGGGGGGAAGCCCCGTCCCCCCAGCCCCGTCTCTATGGCAACCGGAGGAAACTCCCCGCTCGCTTTCCCGCCTCTTTCGCTCAGTCCGGGCGGGCTGCCAAGAGGGCGGCGCCTTCAGCCCAGCCCGCTGCTCTTGCTCAGGCCGCCCCGCCTTTCTCCTTTCCCCGCGGCTCTCGGAGAGGGGAAGGCGGGCTCTCTGTTCGCGGGAGCCCCGGGGCTGCTTTCCTCCTCCTCCTGGAGATTATTCCATATTAGCTGCAGGAAAGGAGGAATGCAGCAGCAGCAGCAGCGACGGACTTCTGGGGAGATGAATGCGGAGAAGGAGGGTGTGTTGCTGGAGCTGGAGGAAGATGACGAGGAAGAAGAGGGGGAGGAAGAAGAAGATGGGGAGATAGGTGAGTAAGGAGGAGTGTGTGTGTGTGTGTGTGTGTGTGTGTGTGTGTCGACACGTGTACATTCCGTGCATTTAAAGCGTCCCCCTCCAGGAAAAAGAATGTTGGGAACTGTAGTTTTACCCCACGCCGAGCTACAATTCCCAGCAAGCTACAGATCCCAGGGGAGAGGCGTGCTTGAAATATGCTTGAAATGAGACGGTGGAGGAAGCGCGTCTCAGTTACAGCACTTTCGAGCTAAGGCGACCGAGCTTGCTTTGCAACAGGGAGAGTTGAATCGCGTCTTAAAAATCTCTCCCCAAAGTGAGAGAGAGGAAAGGGTGGGTTCCCGTTTCATTGGCTGCCCTTTGATTCACCCTTTTTCGTTTTTAAAACGGCGTGTCAACAGCTTGGACAGTGGCGCAGGCATCACAAAGTTAACGCGGAAAGTTTGGCTTCGCTATTCTTTCCAGCTCCTTTGCAGGCCGTTCCGCGGAGTTATTTGGCTTGCGCCAGTCAGCTGGGTCTGATAGTGTCCTGTGCCTGGGGGGGAAAGTCTTCTTTCTAATGCTGAATTGAAAGACCTCGCCGTTATTCTCTCCCCAATGCTAGTCTCGCTCCCCTCCGTGCTTCCAAAATGCTGATCTGAGATTTGAACGGAACATCCGCAAAGAAAACTGACGGCGATGGGCGTTTTGATGGGCTTGGGAAAGAATGCAGTGTTGTTCCGGAATCTTTGGTTGTTGCTTTTTTATTTTTGTCTGGGAGTTGAAAGTTCAGTGATCATTTGTCACTTTTCCAGATAAATGTGAATCAGAAAAGACGGAAGAATAAGCTGGGAGGATAAATGAGACCTAAAGGCATGGTTGTGTGTGTTTGTTTTTTGCAACAGATGATCTGGAAATACTCAATAGCGCCACCTTTCTCCCCGTGCGAAAGGCAATTCTTTAAAATACTGCTAGGATATATAAGTTGAGGGTAACAATCCAGCAAAAGTCTCGACCAAGGCTGTAGTTCTCCTAACCCCACCTCCCTGGGAGTAAGCCCTACTGAATCCAACGGGACTTACTTCTGAGTAGATGGGCTGCAGACCTGACTATGGCTCCATTTAAAGCACATCTCCCACCCCCTAGAATCAAGGAAACTGTAGTTTACCCCTCACGGAGCTATAATTCCCAGCACCCTTAGCTACAATTTCCAGGATTTTTGGAGGAAAACGTTCTCTAAATGTATGGTGTACATACAGGCTGCAAGTCCCATTGAAATAAAAAAGATTTAGGTTAGTCACAAACCCTCTGCTGCTGTTTTAAATAACTATATCAGCAAATAAAACTATAAAATGTGTACTTTATTAAATCTAAGCTGTCCTGTTCTGGAAAAGGACATGGAAGTAAGTTTAGCAAAGAAGTAACATACAGGAACTGACAGTAGGAGAAAGATGCAGTTTGCTGTAGTGATGGAGCCAGCATTCCACTGTAGGTCCAGTGGGGAACACAATCTCTTGGGTTGCTGCATTAAAAGCCACCCCCTGTGTCTCACTTGGACCTCACTGCTGGCATCAGCATGAGAGAAGTAGCGGTTCTGCTTTCCCAGTTTTGCCATGCCTTAATTTGACTGCCAAAGCATGAGAGAAGAGGCATGATGAGTAGTAAAAAAATGTATTCTCTGTCTGTAAGGGGGAAAGTAGTTAACTGTCTCTCACAGATAAAACATAAGAGGGCTGTTTGCTTGATTTTTTAAATCAACTGTCTTTTCATACAACCTGGGAGTTGGATTGCAGCCTAAGTCATGCTTAAGAGTGAACCCATTGAAACCAAAGCGACTAATTTAGGCTCCACTGATTTCAAAGGGTCTGGTTTAAGGATTACCAAGTGTGAAGTCCATTTCAATGGGCTTGTTCTAAGCACGACTTAGGCTGCAGTCCAAACCCTTATATGCCAAGCTAATGCCATTTGGCACTGGGTCTGATCTGGGCCCGGTCACTGTGCCAGCCTGGCACTGCCTACCCTCCCCACAACCTGCATTCCCTTCCCACTTTCCTTTGCTGTCAACCATGAGTGGCAAGACTGCTGGAGCTAGGATTGCTCTGCCTGTGTGGATTCAACCCTTGCTGCTGCAGGTGACATATGATTAATGAAGAGCAAATGAACAGAACAATGACAAAACAGTCTATTAAAGCTGCGTAAAGTCTATGACTCACCAAAGAGACAAAACAGTACCAATTGAAGGTTGCATTGATCAACCATAACCAATTATACTCCATGTTAAAATTCCATTTGCTGCCATCAAAGGTGATACAAAGAGGGACTCATCCAGGTGCCACAAAAGAGAAACTAGCAGAGTACCACTCCGAAACAACCTCTGAGGCACATTCACCATACCCTCATAAATAGGCAGAGGCCGCATTCAGATGTACGGCTAAATCCTTGTTTAACATTACATAAATGAGCCTAGCCTCTTCCTGTGCTTGTAAGCTATTCCTTCTCCTCCTTGTGGCTTCCCACATGCCTAAGAAGAGGAATTTGGAAGCTTTTGCTTTCCCTTAACTGTGGTTTATAACTTTCCAGCCTTAGTTACAAATGTTTCTTTCCCATAAAATTGTCACAAAAATTGCTTTTTGTAATTTAGTACACAAAAAAATGTTACTCCAATCTTCTCCTTCTACTTTGTAAAACGAACCTGGCATTTAACTCTTCTAAATTATAGTGCAGGTCTGTCTACGTAATTGACACGAGTCTTCCTTGCAATCATGAAACCGTTTACTTCTGCCTAAGTTGTCAACGGAAATAAAACGAAGCAAAGACAACAAACAACTGATGTGTGTGATATTTGCCGGTGATGCATGGAATCAGAAGAGACTGGGTATTAGGAGCTGTTCAGATTTATCAAAGGGATAGTGTGTGAATTATTTATCATCTTTGTTTCAAATTCTAACAAGGCAAAAGTCAATAGACATGTGATTGTATCTATTGCCATTTGTATTATGCTTAGGTCAAGTACCGTTATTTGTTGAAATGTAGCAAAATTATATAAGCAACTATCATTGGTGTTCAGGAAGTCTTGTAGTTTATCTGTGTCAAACGTAAGTCTTGGTAAATGTCAACACAATTTTTTTTTAAGTGAGATTGAATGTGTAAGCAATCAACCTGGTTTTTAAAAGACTTCAGGTACTTGGAAGTTCACATGAGCAAGTTCATTTTCCATAGCCTCTGAAATAAATTTATTGCCTTTGTATGTTCATTACATTTCTGCTCATTCTGATCATTGACCCTAATCAAACTGAAGTTGATTAATAGGGTGGGAGTTAGGTTTTAGTGTGTGTTCAGTTCAGGCTCTATACAGCATGGGTAGGCAAACTAAGGCGCGGGGGCCGAATCCAGCCCAATCACCTTCTAAATCCGGCCCGCGGACGGTTCGGGAATTAGCATGTTTTTACATGAGTAGAATGTGTCCTTTTATTTAAAATGCACCTCTGGGTTATTTGTGGGGCCTGCCTGGTGTTTTTACATGAGTAGAATGTGTGCTTTTATTTAAAATGCATCTCTGGGTTATTTGTGGGGCGTAGGAATTTGTTCACTTAAAAAAAAAAAATAGTCTGGCCCCCCACAAGGTCTGAGGGACAGTGGACCTGCCCTCTGCTGAAAAAGTTTGCTGACCCCTGCTATAGAGAGATCAGGGAAATGTAAAAATGAAACAGAGCTACAGTATGTTTCAGGAACTAAGTTGGCATGGCATCACTTCCTTCTTTGTGGGTTGAGTCAGTCTTCTGGTTTTATAATCGAATCAAGCTGTCTTCTTAAAAACTGTCTATAGAGAGAAAGTGAACTCATGGACATTTTGTTACTTGTTTATTTCTAAAATGTCTATGCTACCCTTCTGCATTGCTACATTGCTTTCTCAACTGCTGTTGTTGTTGAATCTATAACATCAACCTGTGCTGGAGGTTGTACTCCAGGATGTAATCCAGAAAGAAAGTGTCCCATTAAAATCAGTGTCTTTGAATGCATGTTTGCAACCAGGCAAACTGATACTTTCTTTCCCTCAACTTGTCATGGGCTGGTTGGACACAAAGGAATGGTGGGAGGAACCAGCTGTGGAACCACCAAGGCAAGAAAGCTCAGAGCCCAGGGAGTGATGGTGAGACAGTGATGAGAGGTCAGAGGGAGAAGACTGGAAAGAGGATGTGTCAGAAGCAGAAGCAGAAGCAGGGCTTAGTGAACAGGGAGAGTCTGTGGCAGAGAGGTCAAGAACTGGAAGCTGAAGTTGTTGTTGTTGTTGTTGTTTAGTCGTGTCCGACTCTTCGTGACCCCATGGACCAGAGCACGCCAGACACTCCTGTCTTCCACTGCCTCCTGCAGTTTGGTCAAACTCATGCTGGTAGCTTCGAGAACACTATCCAACCATCTCGTCCTCTGTCGTCCCCTTCTCCTTGTGCCCTCCATCTTTCCCAGCATCAGGGTCTTTTCCAGGGAGTCTTCTCTTCTCACGAGGTGGCCAAAGTATTGGAGTCTCAGCTTCATGATCTGTCCTTCCAGTGAGCACTCAGGGCTGATTTCCTTCAGAATGGATAGGTTTGATCTTCTTGCAGTCCATGGAAGCTGAACTTAGTGAGGTCAAATTGAAATTAGAGGCAGAGATAAGTCAGGCTGGTGAAAAGTCATGGTTGTTTCCTCCTGCCGCTGTGACAGGCTCCCTCCCAGAACCAGGAGAGGCATGAAAAGGTCAAGGAGAGTTTGGCTGTACACAAACACACAGTCTCCAATTGCTTGGGGAAAGCCCTGGAGAGGAGGAGACATAGACAGCTGTGGGAAGGTGGGGACCTTTAGTCTTGGCAACTGATTTCCTGGAAGAAGACCCACCCGGAATAAGTTGCTGCTCATTAGGCCTGACACTCAGAAAAGTCTGTGGAGATTGTGTTTTTGCTCATCAAGTGTTAACTCCAACTTTGGACGGTGTGATTACTGACCACCACACCCTGTGACATAACTGTAGCTGTTGTTGCTCAAGAAAAGTTTTGTGCCTTGTCATGGAAGGCTTAGTGCACATACCAGAAAGAAGAAAAACTAGGCAAGTTTTGTCTCCCTCCGAAAAGAACGGCAACAGAAAACTTCTGGCTCCGTGTGTGTGTGTGTGTGTCCAGTTGCCACCTGGTGGCTAAATCATATAATGACACTATCCACCTGTACTGCAGTAACAGTGGAATGCCATGCAAAGCAAGTAGGGCCTAGATTAAGCTAGATCTCTAGCTTTCATGTGGCTTACTATAAGGAGAACCCCATCACTACTGCTCTTGGCACAAGGCTGCCTGGCATTAAAAACTCAGAGCCACAAAACTGCATGACAGGTACTTCATTAGGATGGAACATTGCCCCATTCTCCACGCCTCCTATTCCCTAATATAGCCATTGACCAGTGTCTCTATGATGCTATTGTGCAATGCTGATTGGTACTCCTGCTTGGCAAAGGCACAGGGACTGCTGAAATGAGTGGAACGGTAGAATTATTCCTTTATTCCCAAGGAAGAATGTCAAATAATTGTGGCTCATGTGGAAAGGAAAATGGAAAAGTTAAGGAACAACAGCAAAAAATCAATAATGAATTCTGTTGTGATGTCTATCGTTCTGAAATTTGTGTAAAAATGTATATAAGACTTACCCCTTACCATCTTAGGGCCCAACCAGATGAGATGATGGACATCAGTGGTAGTGATGCTTTCTTCAAAGCTTCAAAGCAGCCATTGGTTGGGGAAGCGATTGAATCAGGCCTGTGGTGCTAGTTAATTGAAGTTGCTGTTAGTTCTGCAGGGCAGGAGTGGGAGATAGAGATACCTCTAATAGGGGATGTTATGAGCATTTGAGCAGGACTAAAGCGAGTACAAGTGGCTTTCTCTCTCCCTGCCCCAAGGCTCAAAATTTATCTTGCTGATCATATTTTTAAAATTCTTACTATAATTTAACAAGTACCTGGTTGTACAGTATTTTTTTCCTATACAAGTTCCAGTGAAATAGATCGTTCCTAGATCGTTCCAGTTAAATAAAAATCTTCACTTGTTGACCTGAGTTGAGGTTCTGGTTGAATGAGGAATGCCACATTTTTAACAAGTGGGAAAAGATTTATGTCTGAACACTTATTTTAATTTCCCAAGCTTCTAGGCTCCAGAATTCTGGGTTACTTGGCAAAATACATTCTAGCTTCTCTGGGATAGAAATCTAATAATTTGCCACCCTCCTAAATTATTTATTCAGCGACTGTACAGGTGCAATAAAAAAATGATCCATTATCCGTAACATAAATTTATTTTACAAGCAATTGCTAACTTCTTTAGTATACTCCTAGGAGTTTTTGTGTGTGAAATATGACACCCATAACATTAGGATGCAGCAGAGCATCTTCTTCAGTTACCTAGGATAGTTTAAGTCATGTTGTTTTCCTGGTTTTGCTCTATCTCTTAGATATTTTTATGTACGTGGCCTTCTTCAAGAAAACACCCATTTAGAATTCCTTTCTCCGTGACTTTTCTGAAACTACTCAGTATGTTGTTTTACATGATAAAACTAAACCAGTCCAAACTGTATTCCCTTCCAGTTATTTGTTTTCTTCATGTTCATACTAAAGAAAGTTATTTCTTCTACTATCTAACTGTCAAGGAGGTGGATACGCAACTAGTCAGCTAGAGAGTAAAGATAAGATATTTCTAGAATTGTTGCCTTCCTTACAAGCAGAAAGTGGGACATCAAACTTTCCACACACAAAAAGGCAAAAAGTGCCACATTTTGAAGAACTGGACATGTTATCCTATCGGATTGCACTTCCCACCTTTCTTCCAAGGAGTTCAGGGTAACGTACATGGTTCTTATCCTTTCCAACCCTGTGAGGCAAGTTAGGAGGAGACAGAAATAGCCAACATATGCCCTCCAGATATTGCCAGATTAAACTCCCATCAACCCCAACCATTGGTTATCCTGGCTGGAGCTTGATAACATCTGGAGGAACAATACTAGCTACCTTTGGACTGAGACATAGTGACTGGCCCAAGTTCTCCCAGCAAGCAGCAGTCTCAGGACCAATTCATGTCTGGAACTGCTTTTCTACATGGTTTGGTCCATTCCAATACTTGAATCCAAGAAGTAGTGCTGTGCCAAAACCTATGCCATCCCCAGCATGCTTTAGAATTGCTTTAGTATATAGGTGAGTGCAAAATCGAGCTTACTATATCATTGCAAGGTGGCCAAGGGTGTTGCGTGTGTCTCCCACCATCCCATTAAATATTTCTCCAGCACTCCACAACTTCCCTGCCTCTCCAAACTCCCTAGTATTAAAAAAAGCCTCATGGTAGTCTTTATCTAGTGATGGGCTTTAACTAAAGTGCAGGGAACTTAGTAGGCTGTCAGGGTATATTCCAGACAGGAAGCCAAGGATTTGGGAAGGCTGCAGATTGAAGAACATCAAAGAGATGATTTATAGAATGAGAGAGAGGATACTCACAACCTGTGAATCTGTGTCGAAAGTAAAGTAAATGTGGATGACAAATCCACCAAGTTTTCCCTCCCCTTTGATAATTTTCAAATGTAATTTCTTTTCTCAGTAATTGATGGAGAATAGTCACAAAAAATATTGGAAGAAATATTTGGCACACTACTATTGGGCTGTACTCCAACAACACCTGGAAGGCCACAGGTTAGCCTTTTCTGGTCTACACCTAAACTCCCTATTCTTACTAGTGTTCAGATAATTGAGGTCCAGGCTATATTTGAGTTGATGTAATCTAAATCAAGAGAAAAGTTAGCTAGGGCTAGTCAGCTTCTGTGGCCAATTCTCCATTCTTCATCTGCATTTGCTCTCTGCCTTAATTCTTTTGTTTAATCAAATCCAACTTTTCTCCAGAAGCAGCACAGGGATATTTTGAAGATAAATACATTAAAGGCTCTGGTTACTATAGCAATTGTGGGGGGCAAGAAGAAACAAATTGTACTAATGATCCAAATTGTCTTTATTACCCATCTCCCTCCATAAGACCAGACCTTCCTTATATGCCCCACTGGCAAAATCTAATATGTATTTTGGCAAGCAGCCTTGTCTGCTTTAGTTCTCAAGCAACTTATCTCATACTAATTAAGATTCTGAATAGAAGATTCATCTTTTTCCTCTAGCCTATAGTTTTATGATAATATATTTATATCCTGCACATAGGCCCGCATTACAGTAATGCTAAATACTAATAAAGTAATTAATAATACAATAAAATAAAATATTAGTGTCACAATAAAATAGGGAAGCAGTATAGAGAAAGCAAAATGGGAAAGAAAAACAGAACCATAACTAATATTAAACTTCCTGTTCTCTCTCAAGTCATAGTAGAACAGGAAAGTTTTAATTTGTTTTCCAAAGACAGATAAAGAGTCCTGTGGCCTTTTTGATAAAAGAAACTCTGAAGTGAAAGTGCCGCCATAAAAAATATTTCACACCTAATTGCTGACAAACTAATTTCTGATAAAGATGGCATTGGGAGTAGGCGCTAACCAAATAACTTAACGTTCAGGGGAAAAAAATCATGGGAAAAGCAGCCTCTGGTATATCCTAGCCAGGCTGGGTGGGAAGGTGTATGGCAGCACTTTGAAGATTGTATCTAAACTCACCGTTAATCAGTGGAACTCCTTCAGCACTGGTGTAATGTGTTCTAAGGGGCCAGCACTGGTTAACAGCAGTCCTGCTACATTATGCACTAGTTTCCAAAGGGTGTTTGGAGAAGTCATTTTGTAAAAAAAATATACTTACCTAAGCAGGATTTGATTTAGTTAAAATGTATGTGTATGTAGGGTCATTTAATGTAGGGTCATCTGATGTCCTGTTAAAAGTGTTGTGGGAGGCGGGAATTGTTGGTTTGTTGTTTGTTTTTACTATGTATTTTGTGGTTTTATATTACGATTTTGTGAACCATCCTGAGATCTGTGGATGAAGGGCATTATACAAATTCAATAAATAATACTAAAAATAATAATAATGCAATGGTTGATTTTGAAAATACTAAGTACCTCTTAATGGCTGGTCATTGGCTGTTATGTAAGTACCTGAGACTGGCCTGAAAGCAAAGAGTAAGGTTACCATAACTTCCGTCACAGAGCTTCAGTATGCTGATGACAATGTAGTGTGTGCACACTCAGAGGATGACTTCCAAGTCATCCTAAATATCTTTGCAGAAGCTTATGAAAAGATTGGCCTATTGCTCAACATCCAAAAAACCAAAGTGCTGCACCAGCAAGGACAAAACAACCCCTCTGTAGTGCCATAAATCCAATTCAATGGTGTAATGTTGGAAAGTGTCACTCACTTCTCCTACCTGGGTTGTTATCTTTCCACAAAAGCTGACATTGATACCAAAATCAAGCATTGCCTGAGCTCTGCAAGTGCAGCTTTCTCCTGATAGAACTGCAGAGTGTTTGAGGACTGAGACATTTGCAGGGAAACCAAAATGTTGTTTACAAAGCTATTGTACTACCAAACTTACTGTATGTTTGTGTAACATGAACCACTTATAAATGCCGTCTCCAACTCCTTGAAAGATTACATCAGTGGTGTCTCCAAAAAAATTTACACTTCACTTGGGAAGACAGGTGAACTAATGTCAAAGCAACGATTCTTCAACATCAACTTTGTTGGACTGGTTATGTTGCTCGGATGCCTGATTATCGTATTCCAAAGCAACTACTGTATTCAGAACTTAAAAATGGAAAGCATAATGCCGGTGGTCAACAAAAGAGGTTCAAAGACTCTCTCAAGGCAAATCTTTAAAAATGTAGTATAAATGCCAACAATTGGGAAACACTGGCCTGCAAGCGCTCCAATTGGAGAACAGCCTTTACCAAAGGTGTCATGGGCTTTGAAGATGCTCAAACTCAGGACAAAAAGGAAAAATGTGCTAAGAGGAAGGCACATTTGGCAAACCGTCACCATGATTAATTCCCACTCGGAAACCTATGTCCCCACTGTGGAAGGACGTGTGGGTGCAGAATTCTTAAGACCATGTTCATGGAAAACCATCTTACTCAGCTACAAGTGAAAGAAGAAGAAGAAGGGCTACTATGTAAGTACCTGAAACTCATCTGTTGGAAAGTGGTTGGTTGGTTGGTTTTGCAATATTGAGAGTACAGTGGTACCTCTAGTTATGAACTTAATTCACTAATTCTTAACGGAGGTCCGTTCTTAACCTGAAACTTCTTAACTAGAGGCATGCTTTCACTAATGGGGCCTCTTGCTGCCGCTGCGCCACCAGCACACAATTTCTGTTCTCATCCTGGACCAAAGTTCTCAACTCAAGGTAACTCTTCCAGGTTAGCGGAGTTTGTAACCTGAAGCGTTTGTAACCTGAGGCGTTTGTAACTCAAGGTACCACTGTATTGTAAATTACACTTCTGATTGGCTTATTGGGCAGAAATTATTAATTATGCATTGGACAGGAAAAATGGCCTGATTGGCGGGGAGGTCTCTACGCCTCTCAAATCTGATTGGTTAGTGGACAGACAAGCTGGGACATAAATAGGCCTAATCTACTCATATTGAGAGAGACTGCTGACCAGATATGAAGAAGACAGAGGGTGAGACTGGCTGAGAAGAAGAAGCCGGAGGCTAAAGGTGAAGCAGAAGCAGATGGGAAAGAGACTATCCAGGCTGGAGGAAGCTGAAAATAATAGTCTGCCTTAAAAGAGCAAAATCATTAACCTTAAGCTGAAGATGGGCAGTGAAGACAGTAAGAAGAATTCAGCAAGGAGCTGACCAGAACTGCCTGGCTCAAAGGTGGCCCACAGTAGCTAGTGGCAAGACTGACTGGGGAAGAGGGGCTAAGGGTAATGGCTATTACGTTAAGAAGTGTTAGGAACTAAAGTGTATCAGCCAGGTTCATGGAAACATCTGTAACAGAGTCAGTTTTTAGATACAGCAGCTTTATTGCAGCATATATAAGTAACCCTTAAAGAAGCAGCAACATATTGAAGCATGGCATTCACCTTATCATATCAGAACTTCTATTACACCATACTTCTATCAGAAAGGGTTAATAGAAAAGTAAGATATATGCAGCTCAAGAAAGATATCTTAAATGCAGTTTCTTGCCTTTAGGAAATATATTGACCCCCTCCCAAAGACATCACTGAGGAAACATAGTCTTATCTGTGCTAAGTTTAGTTCTTGGACATGATGAGTTAATACTGCATCTGGCCTTTAAAGTATGTTGGCATCTTTTTCTGTTTTATTTCCATGCTGAGATATTTTCCATCTGTGTTTTATGGACACGTGCAGGACTCAAGTTCCCCGAAACTGCCAGTTTTATCTCAGTAATGTCACTGTTTTTCTTCATTTCTGTGTGTATGTTTAGTAACCAGCTACGCATTAATTAAGGAACATTTCAGTCAACCCTTGTCTTCAGCAGCGAACGCAAAATGAATGTCTGTTGAAGAGTAATTGCAGATGGGCAAGAGGGCGATTCAATTGCAGTTCAAGCAAAACATATTAAGCTACAGCATATGCACAGGAGAAGGGTTAATATGCAACTTCCTCTGCCACACTATTAAAGTACCGGGCTCATGCTAGAATACTAATTGAAGTGACTTGCTGGCACAAAAAGCAAAGGCAAGAGCCAAAAAGGCAAACAAAAGGAAATCCTTCTGTACTACACTTGTTCCTTTTTTATTATTCAGTGCAGCTCTGATTTATATTGAACATTATCTGGGCCATTTCACACCCGCAAATGCCGCTAATATTCTGCATGTGATATGAAAGACCATAGGAAGGAGTGCTTGTGAGGATCAGCAAGAGCACAGAATAACTTCTGGCAGCACCATTTCTGTCTGGTTTAGGTCATAAAAATAGCTATGCACTGCTCCTTGTGATCTAGCTCTTAATACCCAGCATTTATAATTCAGCTTTTGAGAGTGTAACAATTGCCTTGCATGGTCAAACTAAAGGTCCATTCATTCAGTCTCCTGTAGTATGAGATGCCCATAGCAAGAGCCTCCATGCCATAATAGTGGTAGCCTTCCTTTGTTGTTTGTTCTCAGCATCTTATGCTACTTCAATTATTGTAATTGACACCTATTCCTCCATAAGGGACGTGGGTGGCACTGTGGTCTAAACCACTGAGCCTCTTGGGCTTGCCGATCAGAAGGTCAGCGATTTGAACCCTCGTGATGGAGTGAGCTCCCATTGCTCTGTCCCAGCTCCTGCCAACCTAGCAGTTTGAAAGCACGTCCGTGCAAGTAGATAAATAGGTACCGCTGTGGCGGGAAGGTAAACGGCATTTCCGTGTGCTCTGGTTTCCGTCATAGTGTTCCATTGTGCCAAAAGTGGTTTAGTGGACAAACGCCAGCTCCCCCAGCCTGAAAGCGAGATGAGCACCGCAACCCCATAGTCACTTTTGACTGGACTTAACCTTCCAGGGGTCCTTTACCTAGTCATCCATGAATTTGTCTTAATCCCTTTAAAGGCACCTGAATCCCATTTCAGATGTTGCAGTAACACAGTAATCCTTATTTCCAGTGTGGCTAAAATCGCCACCTTCAGGTTATAATTTTGAAGGGGCCATCTGGATGTCATTCCACAGCACTCCCACAGAAGGGCATCTTCATGCAGTGCTGGCTTTAGGATTTGTGGGGTCCAACATCCACAGTAAGGAGTACTTAAGGGTGCTATAAGGAAACCTGAGTTACTTCTTAGCATAGCAAATGCTCATGAGGTTTCTGTAGCACACTAGCGAAACTCTTTCAACAGCGTGATAACATATACCAAGGGAGGGCAAGAGAAGGAGATCTGTACACATAGCCTTTCCCTTGACATACAATAACTGTGAGATAATTTTTAGAAACCTTAATTCTAGAATTATTATGTTTGGTCCGGGAACTTGCCCTATCATGAGAACTGATGGTATGGGATCGTTTAGCCAACCTGCCTTGCGAACAGAGATTTTGCAAGAAAAAACACGGGAAAGGAATAAGATGAAATGAAGTTTCCACTGCCATAGAATCATAGATTGTATATAGAGTTGGAAGGGACCCTGATGATCATCTAGTTCAACCCCCTGCAATGCAAGAATATTTGTTGTCTCATATGGGGATCAAACCTGCAACCTTGGTGTTATTGGAACCACACTTTAACCAACTGAGCTATGCACATCATGAGCATGTTTAGAACACAGGAAGTGGAAGCTCTGCTGTTTGTAGCCACCGGCATTAAACTTGACTCATACAAAAATTGAATGCACTGTTCATAATTTTACTAGCTTCCCTCACCACTTTTTAAAACCAAAATCAAAATCAGGACCTTCAGGTGAATGTCTGAGACCTCTCCCATAAAGGCCAAGCGTGCCATTTGGCAGTGCTGCTGGATTCAAACCAAGTGGTGTTTCAGTGGCCAGCAGTGCTTTCCACCATCTTTAGCTGGTACACAAACTGCAGCCCTATCTGGAGAGAACTGACCTTGCCACAGTGTGATGCACAACACAAGGGGCTTGCTGTCTTTGAAAACATTTCAGAAACTCAGAATGTGCCAGAATCCATGGAGGCTAGGCAGTCATCATTGTTAGATTAGCTGTGCTAGGTACTGATGTGTTTCTGGGCTCAATTTAAAGTGCTGCTTTTTACTTTGAAAGCCCTAAACAGTTTGGCACCGAGTTCCTTTTTGGACCACCTGCATTATCCTGCCCACACTTTAGGATCTGATTCAGAGGCTCCCTGACATATTCACCTTTTAGGTTGCATAGGTGGAAGTCAACAGGAAAGAGAGGTTCTTCTCTACGGTGCCTGCATGACTTTGGAATTCCATTCCATCAGATCTGTGCAAGGTTACTATGCTTCAGGGTTTTTGGAAGACATTGAAGCATCTATTTTTCATTTGTTGTTCTAGGAGTGATGTTTCACTGGCTGGGTGATGGCTTTGGGTGTTTTTTTTATGAAGAGTTTTCCCTAAGAACCTTAAGCTTAAACTTTTTGTATTACTGTCTTCTTTTCATGCTGTTTTGTGTTTGTAAACCACTCTGCCTGGAAAATGCCTCCAAAAGTGGCCTAAAGTGTTGTTGTTTTCAAATAAACAACACAGCGCAACAGGGTATATCCCATTTTATTGTGAGAAAATGTCATTAAGTATAAACAATGTACTTGGATGCTGTAAGGTTGCCATGGGTTTGCAGAATAGATTTAGTAACATGTGAATCCCAAGCAGAATGTGTAAAGGGTTTGTATTTGGGGTTTTGATTATTGATTCTGTTGTATCTTATATCAGGCATACACAGGACTTGAGCAGAGGGAAGCTGTCCGTCAAGATCAGCTGCTAATCCCAAACTCTGTAGCACAGCAGAAAGAAAAGCTGTTTCATCTTATTTGTGCTGCAGTGGTTTCCTCTGTGTATATATCTGTTGGCAGGTTAGCATCTAAGTGTAGATCTGTTTTACAGATACATTATTCAACAGTTTCCTGACCCATAACCATTTAAATGGATCTAAAATGTGAGATAGTTCCCATAGCAATGCCCCTGAGTTTGCTTGCAGCTGTAATCATTATTTTTGGCAGGTTTACTTTTCCAAATACAATAATACCTATAAAAAATGATGCATGTAGCATATGAGAAATATGATGAATTGTTCCATCCAAGCAGCCTGTCTAGTGGGACACGGAGGTGTCATTCATCAAAATATTCTCCTCAAATCATGGCAATTCCCCCCAGGTCAACTGTACAAACTCATAGTCAGCTTCAAATAGCCCCAATTGCCCCCATTCAGAGTGCAGAGCCTGTTATGTAGCTTATCTCAGAGTGTTTCATTATTTCTGGTTGCAACTGAGGAAGAAGCACATCACTACTTCTAGAACTCAGGATGTGTTTATACATTAGCCATGCAACTGTCTGACCAGTGTTCGTCTATATAGTCAAATGTATATTAGAACAGGGACCATGGTTAAAAATTAACAGCATTGAAAGTGCACTAACTAGAACAATATGGAGTTGTCACCATTAAATAATTCTTGCCACCATATGCAATTTTACAATCTCCATAGTTGGTTTGGAAGAGAGAAGAAGGGAAAGGGAATGGAGCCCCCACAAACCTAGCAGAGTTTTTTGAGTGGGGGGGGGAACTGAATCATATACTAAAAAACAACAACTTATTCTGTAATTCTTCATCTTATAGTTTTTCACAAATATGAGAAATTTAGGTAAGAGTCCCATTTTACAGATAAGAAATTGTGGTTGAGACACAATGGCTTATATGTAATAGGTCAGTGGATAAAGTCGGATTTGAATCCTGGTCTCCTGCAGGGGAAATAACAGCCTATCAAAATATTTCTGTCCGGAAATAAAAACACTATAGGACATAACCACATTGTAAGCCTCGAAAAGACATCTTCAATGTTACATTGTCAGAAGAAGAAAGTAGCTTACTTGTTTGGCTATATGGTATAACTGTGTTACTAATATTTGCAAGTCATGTTTGTAAAGTGGTACCAACCCAGCCATGTTTGTTACAGTTTTTTTGTGCAGAAAAAGCTTGCAAGTCTTAAATTGTTTGGAGAGAGGGCCTCTTCTTCATGCTACAAATATAATCTGTTGATTGTTTTATGTCCAAATTGGCGGGGGGGGGACAATCCCAAAATGCGTGAAACCTTAATTCAAAAGAGAATAAGTGTTCTTTTACACATGCTAGCAAAAACAAAAAACAAAAAAACACTGGTCTTTGAGTATGCTGTGTCCACTGTTAATTGATTTCATGTGGATTAGATGGTGGCAAATTAGAGCCCTGTCATTTAGAGTTTACATTGTATACTTTCCAGTCTTACGTCTTGTTATCATAATTCTTCTGAGCTCTGTAACTGAAAAGGAAGAATTTGGGAACACTTCTCCCCGCCCCCAGTTTCTTGTAGAGCGGTATATTCCCATGTTAATCCGGTCAGTCAGGTTTTTCAAGATGTTGGGACACTTTGCTCGCTGAGAAAGAATTTATACAAAGCTTCTTGAGATAGAATAAACACCTTGCTATTTCCATTTAGGAAATTTGCTTCATTCTCTCCTCCTGCATTCCCACCGTTCTTTTCAAGGTGAAATTGTTGTCCTTGTACAAGGTAGGAAAGAGCAGCCGTAGCTTGTGTAGGACTCTGCTTCTTAATCGGCAAAAGTGAATCACATCACCAGCCACCCAGCGCTGCCAAAAGAGCTTAATTCTGGAGCCACATGGAAGAACAGCAGCCAGGTAAGAAAAACAACTAATGGAACTGTAAAGAATGGAAGGCTCAAGAAGAAAGTTCATGCTTGATTGAGAGGCAGCAAACCTTTTTATGTTATATGCAGGAGTTTCAAGAGGGATGGAGTGGTGGGATTTTTCCAGGGAACAATATGGAAGGAAGCGGTTTTTGAAGGGACTCAATCCAAAATCCATAAAACTTGCTGCACAGATGCAGAAGTAACAGTAGTAAGTTAAGCAGCAGAAAGGTCATAATGTGAGCTGTAATTGACAAATTGCTCATGTGTGTTTGTTAATCATACATTTAAGCATGCAATATTTACACTGCTTACCACTGGGGCCGAACTGAGGAAAACAGCCTGGGAAAGAAGGATGCAGAAGGGAAAGACTAGTCATGTAGAGAAATGCAGAGTTCTTAATTCATATCACATAGCAGCTGAATAATAAATAAATAGAAACATTCAATTAAATATCAGATTGCATTTGGAATATTTTTCTGTAACGTAAGAAGAGATATTTCCCTTCCAACGTTGTTTAGAGCAGACCTTCTTCCTCAATGGCATGTTCAATGTTTCAAGAAAAAGAAGGGACGCCTGAAAGAGAAGCAATTTTTGTCTTTTCTACGTGTATATTTTTGCTTGAAGCATGTCTTAATGCTAATCTAGGGAGATTTCCACGTAGCTTTTCATTGTTTTAAATCTTTGTTGAACTTCAAGGGTGAAGCTTAATAGTACATACATCCTTTCCAAGCATGTTCTTGGCACGTTTGATATAATTAAAGTAGCAGTTTCTGTGATCTAATAGGGATAGGAACTTTGAGTCATGTTCAGAGAGTAGCTTCTAGTATGAAGCAGGCTCAGGCATGTATGTTTAACATTCTTGTCAAGTGCAAACTTACAGCCGAACCAAACGTTATGCCATAACATAAATAACAAAATCCCAGGGGCCACTTTAATGTGGTGGGGATGGTGGAGATGACATATTTCTGTTTTGCCCTGACTCACCTTCAGTGGTCTGCTATTTTAATCCCCCCTCCCTTATCTTCTCTCACCTTTTTCCTAGGGTACCTTGGTGTTACTTTAGAATACATATTTCTGCACCACTTAAGCTTTCCCCCCTGCTATTTGGCACATGGTATGATGAATGCATGAGATCCAGTGGGTGGGTTCCCACAAGGCAAGACACAGTGATAACAGCAAGAACCTTTATTGAACTACATACTGTAACTGGGAAACAGAGGCAAAGCAACTGCTTGTATACACTTCTGAAAGCCTGGGCCACTCCCACTCCCAACAGGGCCATAACTAGGGGGTGGCAAGGTGGGCCCCTGCCAGGGACACAGGCAGACCCCCCCCCTGCAAAATCAGCTTAAAAATATGTCCATAAATATGTCTATAAATACAGTGGTACCTCGGGTTCAAGTTACATATGCTTCTGGTTACAGACTCTGCTAACCCAGAAATAGTGCTTCAGGTTAAGAGCTTTGCTTCAGGATGAGAACAGAAATGCTCCAGCGGCACGGCAGCAGCAGGAGGCCCCATTAGCTAAAGTGGTGCTTCAGGTTAAGAACAGTTTCAGGTTAAGTACGGACCTCCGGAACGAATTAAGTACTTAACCCGAGGTACCACTGTAAAAATATTGATTATTGCCTCATAAGAAAAGGGTTTAAATAGAGAATGAATTGAATGAGTGGAGGGGGGGTTGGAGGAGAGGCAGAAAGAAGAGCTAATTTGTCCGTGGCTAGGGTTCTGGATGGTTCTGCCAGGGGCACAAGATCATCTACCTACAGCTCTGATTCCCAATGTGATTGGCTGTCTAAACTTCCAAACTGCGAATCACGACTCATAGTTCAAGGGCCAATGGCAGAGATCCAAATCCTGAAATGTTCTGTGATTGGACAACATGTATCAAATCAGAACACAGGAGCTCAGAATCCTTAGTCCAGACTCAAGCTCAGGCAAACACAGACCACTGAATATATAACATGAGCTACCAACTGTTGTTTCTGGGAGGGGTGGTGGAGTAAAATAATGTCTTTTTCAAAGTGGCCTAAGTTGCTTTAGGTGTCTAAAAGTTTTCACATTTCACAGAAGCAGTTTACCTTCCTTAAAAAAAAAAAATCAGTACTTGATAGCAATTGTTTAACAGCTCTAGTGGAAAATATACTGTGGATATTCTGCAGTGCTGCAAGGATCATTTTTAAGATTCATGGTGTTATGTACTGAGTTGAATAGGATCCAAACTGCAGCAGTCTGATTGGTCCTAGAGCAATAGGATCCAAAATGCAGCAGTCTGATTGGTCCTAGAACAATAGGATTCAGAATGCAGCAGTCTGATTGGTCCTAGAGCAATGCAGCAGTATGATTGGTTGGCAGGAACCAACCACTCATGCTCCAGATAGAAGTGAATCCACAACCTGATTGGCTTACAGTAGAATTCCGGAATTAGCCAATCATGTGCAGCCCATTGTGTAAATAATGTATATAAAGCAGATACTTTGAGGGGACATTCTTTCATTCCTCCTCATCACTATGAGCTGAATAAAGAGCATGAAATCACTTTGCGACTCTGAGTATATTTCACATGGTTTATATTATATAATCACTAAAAGGTTTCTCCTTGAATGCCTTTTTAGGGTGTGGGGGAGGCTTTTAAAATGTTACGCTTTTAAAGGTCTCACTATAATTCCCACTTCTGCACCAAACTTTACTCTTGGTTTGAGAGCCAACTAATTGAGATCATTGAACAGGACCAACATTTTAAGTTATGACTCATATTTTTGAAATTTAATGTTGGCGGAAAATTCCTTGAAATATTTTCTTGTTTCCCTCTCTGGAGGAAATACGACACCACCCCCACAATAGCAGGCAGGAAATGGAATTATCCACTTCTGGAAGAAACGTTAAGAAGCTTAAACAATATGAAGAGTAGGTTGCCACAACCTGCATATCTAATCCTAGATATGTTTTATAAGTTAGACTAGGCTATAGTTTCTGCCCAGTTCGCATGGCAAGTTTTTATTATACATGTCCCTTTGTGCAAAGTAGTTTCTACACAATTTCAAGAAATTTTATCTAGGCCAGGAAAAAGCCATATCAATTAAAACATGATTTGAAATGTCTGCAAACTTTGGCAGAATCTTCCCCTCTCCATAGCTCATTTTGGTACACAGGGTGTCCACTGGGTTGTTTTTAGGTTGTTATCTAGAGGACCTGAACCCTGAATCTTCTGCCCTTTCCTTCTTCTTTTTAATTACAAAATAAATAAATAAATACTTACTGGGCAGACTGCAAAGGGCAAGGAAATCACAACCATAATTTCTTCAAAAATCTAAATTTACACAAATATATTAGCATATGCAAATTTATGTCTTAAGTCAATGTTTTGAGCCTTTTAAGTACCTGGTGCTTATGTGGGATACTAAAAGTGATATCAAACCAGCTACACTATTTCATAGAATCACAGAGTTGGAAGGGGCCATGAGGATCACCTAGTTCAACCCACTGAAATGCAGGAATATGCAGCTGTCGCATACAGGGATCGAACCTGCAACCTTGGTGTTATCAGCACCTTGTCTAACCAACTGAACTATTCATATCTCCACAACAGAGGTATTCCCTTTGGGCATTTGAAACTCTCCCAGCAAGTGCATAACAACTCCCATGTATTGCATGCGAAGTCCCTCCGTCTGAATTTTTCGTGGACAATTACATTTCTTTCCTTTAAAACAAAGTGTGACTTATGGCTCAGTCTTTCAAATGCTGTGACAGCAATTGCATAGTGTTATCAAGAACTATGACTGTGAAAAGTTACATAATGTTACACCAGTGCTGCAGGTAAATATACACAAACACAAGCGTTTAACAATGCACACCTGTGCACCAGCAGTAGGAAACTGGAAACAGAAGACTGTTTTGAAGTTTAGTGGTGGTGGTATATTTTCAGGAGAAGATCACAGCTGTGTATGGACTTTCATTCCCTGCCACAGTTTGAGCATCTTCCCCTACCAAAAATGGTGCTGCAAATGGATTTGAAAACAGACGTCTACGGGTGCCAGGGGTAGGCTGTTTTTTTGAAGCCTGATTGTTTCACAGATGTGATCTTCCTTCCCTACCTGCAGTCTCTGTGAAGATCACACACACACACACACACACACACACACACACTTCCCTCTAGCAAGTAGGGTTGAAAAACGATGAAATGCTTTTGTCCATCCCTAATTGCTGGGGTGGGGGAAAGTGAGACTTTTACATGCCTGATATGTGTGTGCATGTGGGGGGAGGTATGTGTTGTGCGAGTGCGCACTTTGTGTATGTGTGAGAGAAAATGTGGGGTGTGCCTCTTGTTCTGATCACACGTACCACAGAGATGTGACCTCTGGAGGGTTGTCCAAGAGGGAATGCAAAATTGCTGCTTATCCTTGCTACACATGTTTTCTCAGATGCCCTACTATGTGCAGTGGGGCTTACTTCATCATAAGGGTGTTTATAGCTGCAGCCTAAGGCTAACACACTGACCTGTTGCAAAGGGCATGTATTTTTGAAAGCAAGTTCAATTGCTAATGCTTTATATGAATCAAAGTGCCTCAGTGTTTCGGGGGGGGGGTACCCAATATGTGGTAGGCTCTCTGCAAGTTCCCTATCCCACACAATCCCCTAAGCCTTGTGGCACTTTGTCTCCTTGCTTGCAAAAAACCCCAAACACCACAGACCTTTCTTTCTTTCTTTTGCAAAAAAGCAAAACCAGTCTAATAGGAAATGTCATTGGTCAAGCTGGGGCCGGGGGAGAGGGGTGAGGAGAAGGATAGCCCACTGTGAAGGACACAGGGCATTTAATCAGAGGGAATTATTTCACTGTGGCTATCTAATCACAGTGGTTTGTGTGAAGGATGTTGATGGGAATAAACACATTGGACTCACATGCTTGTTGCTCTTTTCTCAGTTTTGTGTCTCTTGAGTAGGATACATAGAATAGTTTTGTGGTGGACTAGGAGGCACCCCTCCCCTTACCAAATATGGACCCAAACCAAATCTTGATGCCAGTGCATACTCCTAATAATTGCCTGTTTAAACCCTTACCTTGCCATCTTCTGTGGGTGTTTTGTTACATAATGATCTGCATATTTTCTTGTTTATCCTTCGTTTGTCTCCATGGGATATGAAGATATATATAAATAAGTGGAAATTTAAGAGTAAATTGAAATTTTCTCCAGTGCAATGCAGAGCCAATAGTAATTAACCAAAACTCTGATGAGTCATATTGCCCTGTGATTTACTCAGGAAGGAAGGAGGAATTCACAAAAGAGAGAGCAGGGAAGGGAAAGAAGGAAGTGAACTGTGATCCATGAAAGCTTATGCCACAATAAGTATTTAAAGTACTGCTGGACTCTCAGTTGTTTTTGCTGCAAAAGACTAGCCGTCTGGAAATAATTACAGTTCAGAAAAAACAGCAGCATTATTTTTACTCTTGCCCAGAGTTAAGAGAATCTGTTTCTCAAGCAAGATACCAAATGTGAATTAAACTGAACACATACCGTACTTAAAATCAGTGCTTTTTCCCGTGTGTGTGTGTGTGTGTGTGTGTGTTTAGGGGTACTCTCATTTTCCTACTCATATTGAAATACTGCCCCTCAATGAGGCCAAACTTAGATTCAAAAAATGTTTAGGGGTATGTGTACCCCCAGAAAAAAGCACTGCTTAAAATCTAGCCTTTCTTTTACCACAAACTTTCACCATGAAGGACTAGCGTGCTCACTGAACTCTGCAGCCAAACTAAAAATTCATCCTGTTAGAAACAACTATATCACTGGTTTCACATCAATCTTATTGTAAGATAAATGTGCTTTATCTACCTTTACATCACGTTTTATAGTACAATAATGTTTCCAGAAGGCACACCTATGTTCAAAAAAGTCTCCTGGGGATGACTGCCCATCTGTGTTCTTAAAACTACGTTTACTGGATAACCAACATAGTCCTGTCCGTATGTTTTGAACTACAGCTCCCTTATCATTGGCCATGCAGGCTTAAAGCAAAATTGGGCTTTATATATTTATAGGGAACTGAGACTGATGTGGGAACATAATCTGGGTTCATGAACATAATGTAGCATATTATGTTCTTAACTTCAGTGGTAGGTATGAAAGGGCAAAGCTGAGAATTTCACCCCAAAATGAAGAAGATTTCACAAAATTGAAGGCTGTAACTAAACCGTCTCTTCTGTATTGTTTTAGTCTTGGAAGAAGTGGAACAAGATGTCTTTCAGAGCTATGGAACAATGCCCGGCCAGCAACCACTGCATAAGCCAGAATGGGTAGGTGCTACTTCAGCAAATGTTGTTATCTTTGCTTTCTTCTCCAAAGCTTTTTCTGTGGTGGCCCCATCACCACCACTATTTGTGGAATATTGTCCCCTTTCATGGGAGGAATGTTGGAGGGTATGGAGTTATGTGACCCCCGAGCCAAGAAGATAAGTAACTATGCAACCTTCAGAAGACATCTGAAGGCAGCCCTGTGTAAATAAGGTTTTTTTAAAAAAAATGTTTAGTGTTTTATTACATTTTTATATATGTTGGAATCCATCTAGGGTGACTGGGGCAACCCAGTCAGATGGGTGGGGTAATAATAATAATAATAATAATAGGACATCTCTATATTCATCAGAGAAATAGTGGAGTGTATGTGCTTGTGTTCTGGCAAGGAGAACAATAATTAGTATTATTGTGGCAGCAATTTTGGCAGTGGTGGCAGAAGAAAGGAAAACATAGTCACACAGGGGTTTGCAAGGACACTGGAGACACTGTGCCAAGACTCCTCAGAAGTCTGGAGCCTGAAGAGAAGGAGAATTTGCAGGGCCATTCTCACATGACACTTTGCTTTGTTCTATGATCTCCCTTTACTGAAGAATATAGTGAGACTTCAGAATCTTCATTTCTGAAGGATGTGCTAGCAGGCTTAGGGAATTAGATGTGGAAGCAATGAACTGAAGATGAACCCAATTGTATTTGACCCTTGACCTCTGAGTCTTAGTTAACATCCCAGAAATACTGATAACCATGGCACTAAGAGGAATATAAATGAGAATAGAGACACTCACATGCAAGAATTACGTAAAGAAAAATAAATTAATTGTACTGTATGATCAATTACTGCCTTGCTTTCACAGGGTTCAGCTATGTTGATGTATCGCATTAAAACCAACTGCCTCATTGCCCAATAAAGCTTATGCCACAATAAACCACTTAGTCTTTAAAGTGCCACAACAGGCTTTGTTGTTTTATCTTGTTTTGCTTATGCCGCACAATATCAACCCTATAAGGCCCCCATGGGCTACATAGGGAAGTACACAATAACATTCGTGCTAATTCTACGTTCTTAGGATAATTAATAGCTGGTTAATTATTCAGGAATAACTATGTCAATAACATGCAGTGCTTTAGTTTTAGAACAGATTATGTGGTCTCTTTTCATTCAGTAACATTACCAATTAACTGTTGTAAGACTGTATTCATATAATACATGAGTAATTAGCAAGTACTGCACATTATAAGCCCAAATTGGAAATGGAAGTGAAAGGTGGAAGGAGGCCTTAGGGTTTTGGTTGAGTTTAAAGTAACTTGATATTATTATTATTATTATTATTATTATTATTATTATTATTCCTATACCACCCAAGGATCACAGGGCAGTTTACAATATAAAACCACAAAAATGCATACCATAGTAACAAGTGAAAACAATAACACCCCCACCCCAATTGTTTAAAAGGCCATAGATAGTTTCATTAGCCAAAGGCCTGAGAGAAGAGGAATGTTTTTGCCTGTCACCTAAAGAAATGTAACAAAGGCACCAGGTGAGCCTCCCTAGGGAGAGACTTCCACAAATGGAGAGCCACCACAGAAGAGGCCTGCTCTCATGTTGCCACCCTCCAGACCTTTCATGGGGGAAGCACAGGAACAAGGGCCTCAGATGATGATTGCAGGGTCAAGGTCAGTTCCTATAAGGTGTCAGTAACATGGCTCACCCAAGTGAAGGAAGAGGCAGACTCAGAAACTGAGCTAAGAGAGAGAGAGAGAGAGAGAGAGAGAGAGAGAGACTCTGCAGATGAGAACTGGCTGACAGAGCCAAGAAGGGGTAGTTTGCCCCCCCCCTTCCTGAAGAAGATACTGTCAGCTCTTAAAAAGTGGGAGAGTTAGGAGGCAGCCAGAGCATTGCTAGGCAATCAGCAGATAAGCAGACAACTGAGAGTGTGTCAAGTGGAAGTGTGGAGGGGGAAGGCCAGCTTCTCAATCCCCGTTCTAGGAGACTGGATAAGGTCAGAGGACAACGGAAGGGCAAGAGGGGAAGGGCGGGAATTTGGTGTCCTTCCTGCTGTGAAAAGGACGGAGATTCAGACTGACCAACTATCATCAATGCAAGCAGGCAAGAAGCCATGCTCTGGATGTGTTTTTTGTAAATAAACGTAACACAAAACTGCCAGAGAGTCATTACTTCTTATTGGGGCTTGCTTGCCTGCCTGAGATCATTACATGAGAGAGATGGTCCTTAAGGTATAGCGGTCCTGAGTATGTAAGAGAGTTTGGACATCTTAAATCACTATACAGCATCTTTCACTAAATGCATTTTATGGATTTAGTCCATCCTTTCGCACATCTGGCTGGATTTCCAACAGTACAAAATTATTTCAGTTCTTGGTATCTTCTTAGTATCTTTTTAACCAGAAACAAGAAATATGGATCTATGCCTACAAAGAAGTCCCACTTAATGCAATTACACAGATTGAATTGTTTTATTTTTAGTGCTACATAGATACTTTGAACATTGAACATTTACTCTGTCTAGCAAATAATATTGTACTGACTCAAGTGTTTATCGGTATCAGGTTTTGAAACTGCTTAGAAAGCATGATATGTGCAACCATTTCTCTTTATAGGGCAATAATAGGAAGGGTAAATCCTGTAAGATTCTAAGAAGAGCCCTGTTGGATCCTACCAAAGGCCTATCCCGTTCAGAGGGTTCATATTGCTTGTTAGTCACTGCACACCCATAATACCTCTTCTATGGGAGCTAAGGACCCACAGTACTGAACAATTCACTAGACCAATTCCCAGCTTCAGACCATGAGGTTAGAATCAGAGAATCACAGAACCTTAGAGTTGGAAGGTACCCAAGGCTCATCTGGTCCAACCCCCTGCAATGCAGGAATCTCAACTAAAGCATCCATGACAGATGGCCATCCAACCTCTGCTTAAAAGGAGAGTCCACAACCTCCCAAGGGAGACTGTTCCACTGTCAAACAGCTCTTACTGTCAGAGTGTTTTTCCATATGTCTAGGCAGAGTCTCCTGTCCTGCAACTTGAAGTCCTACCTTCCAGAGCAGGAGAAAACAAGCTTGATCCATCCTCCATGTGACAGCCCTTCAGACAGTTGAAGATGGCTATCATATCTCTCCTCAGCCTCCTCCTTTCCAGGTTGCTCATTTAAGCCGTGGATGGATTCCTTGGCTCCAGCTGCAGATTTATTCACTTTTTAAAGCCATGACTTCCAGTCTCATTTCCCCACCTGTAAGGGTAAAACAACAGCACGTAATAAATCAGAGCCAGCCCTACCCTGCTTGCCCACTTGTCTAGGATGTGTAGCAATTCTTTCCAGCGAAATAGCGTGACCCTTTTGCTCAAGCCATCCAATGGCACATTAGCAAACAGAGACACACAAGCCAGTATGCATATTCGAGACAGCTAGGCGAAGCTTTAGTGCACGTTTGAGATAAATATTCAGATCAATGTTTGCTTCCAAGATCTGCAGCGACAAGCTTATGCATTCCATTGGCTTTTGCTTTGGTAGACTATTCATTCCATTATATAAAAAAACAATTTCTTCAGCATGTATTGGATTAAAATTCAATCTTTACACCTTGTGGGGCGGCACATAGGTTTCGTGTATGCTGCAATGTTATCCAAACGTTTTCCTACAGAGCTCTGCTGAGCCAATTGACCATACATGTGCACTTTCTTGAACTTAGAATCATAGAATTGTAGAGCTGAAAGGGACCCCCGCCCCAGGGTCATCTAGTCCAACCCCCTGCAATGCAGGAATCTCAGCTAAAGCATCCATGGCAGATGGCCATCCAACCTCTGCTTAAAAACCTCCAAGGGAGGAGAGTCCACAGTCTCTTATCAAAGCTGTGCTGGGTATGTTCTGTATGATGGTATGTTGGAATTTTCACTCTAGTATGTAAAGATGGCTAGAGTATTCACTGTAATGTTAAAGGTATGATATGTTCCTTACAGGCAGAGTTTAATCTGAAACCTGACTCCCTCTACTTTAATGATGGCCAAAGAAGAATCGACTTTGTTTTAGCATATGAAGATGAGAGCAAAAAGCAACATAAGAGGAGCTTTCAGAAGAAGCAAATGGTATGGCTTGCCTTCTTGTTTTATGCTGCTGTTTTTTGGGGCTCCACTATTATGGGCAATTTGAAGCATCTGTTTTTAGTGATTGCAGCTTCCAAAGGTGTACCTTCCCTTCTTTGCTTTTGTCTTTTCCCACAAAGCTGATTCATAGAATCTCAAACAAAGAGAGGATTTGCTGTTCTTCCCCTTGGCCTTTTTTTTTTTTTTTTGTCTTGATCTTTCCAGTTGGGTTTTATTTCTCGTAGTTGAAAGCTATATTATCCCTTGAATTCAAATGTACTTAGTGCTGGCATGCTCGGTTACTTTTCTGAGCGCTTGCCACAAAGAGAGGACTGAGGCCAAGAATGAAAAAAGGAAGCTTTTAAAAGTTATGCATTCCGTACAGTTCCGTACAGGGACACGAGTGGCGCTGTGGGTTAAACCACAAAGCCTAGGACTTGCCTATCAGAAGGTCGGCAGTTTGAATCCCTGCGACGGGATGAACTCCCGTTGCTCGGTCCCTGCTCCTGCCAACCTAGCAGTTCGAAAGCACATCAAAGTGCAAGTAGATAAATAGGTACCGCTCTGGCGGGAAGGTAAACGGCGTTTCCATGCACTGCCCTGGTTCGCCAGAAGCGGCTTAGTCATGCTGGCCACATGACCCGGAAGGTGTACGCCAGCTCCCTCGGCCAATAAAGCGAGATGAGCGCCACAATTCCAGAGTCAGTCACGACTGGACCTAATGGTCAGGGGTCCCTTTACCTTTACAGTTCAATTTTTAGCTTGGTATTGCGCTTTTGGGATAGTACCCCTTCAGAATGAATCTTTGAATGCAACCCAGATTAAAACAAAAACAAAAACACCCTTCTCTGCACTTAGAAAACCAGCTCATCAGAGAGACAGGAAAGCTATCTTCTGTACTTGCTAGCTTTCTATAGGAAGGCGTCTTTAGAATGAGTGGAAGGGTTGTTCAACCATCCAATTTCCTTATCCAAATTTAGGTAATAGCAGGAAGGCTATACTATATAATATAATAAGGTATAATCCTTATTAAACCAAAAAAGAGGAAATAATGAACAAACGGAGACATAAATAGCATAAATATGCCTTGGGGACCAACAAATGGCGCCAGCTGCATCAACATCCTATTTTTCATAGGTCTCTTGTGGTCAATCTAGTGAACCCTGGTTGCCTCATTGTTTCCTAATAGGTGCCACTGCATGATAAGCAGGAATTCAATAGCGGCAGTTTACTCCAAGTCTACACTGGAAAGAATTTCCCCTGCTAGATGTGAATATGTCACATAGCTGTTAAAGGCACAAGAGCAGTTAAGGACCTACTGACCTCAAAATACTACCTAAAATGTGTAACTATGCTATTTACCTTTGAGTGACCTATAATTTATATTTTCCTCCTAGGTGACAGGAATGCAAATTCTTTCTTTCCTTCTTTTTGAATTGCACTGACTCTTAACAACCATGTTTAACTGTTGAATATTTCGCCTGATCTCCTTCTTCAATTAAACTAAGATTACACTGTGGAGTTCCCATGTTCTTGTTAGCTTTCCACGCATGCCAGCTTGTGGTTTTGTTTTGTTTTAGTACTTATCTGTTTGGTTCCCAGCATAATCTGCTGACATGTCTTAGTCTTAGCATTTTGGATTTTTTTTGTGTTGTCAGTCCATCAATTTGTATGCCACCTTTCCAAAGTTAAAACCATGCTCAAGGCTGTTTTCAACATATAAAAATACTACATAAGTACAATCATAACAACAGTAGTCCAAAACAATTTTAAAATATTAAAAAATACATAACCAAATAGAACAATTAAAGGAATATTATTAATTTATGCCTGAGTTATCTATCTAAAAGTTCCCAGTAAGTTTTAAAAAACAGAAGTTGGTTCACTTTTTGTCTGCATTAAGAAACCATCATATCCTGTCACATGCTTTGTATTCCATGACTAGTTCTGGGTTTTGAACTTGCAAAATATATGCAGCCACATGGAAATGAAGTCATTGGCCACCCATATGCAAGCAAGTAGGGTGATGTAAAACCCACATGACTACGCAATCTCACACTGCCCTCCTAAGCCAGGCCAGCTATGGTGCTAGCAGCGCCAAAGTGCAATGAAAATAAAAATGGCAATAACACCAATTTTCTTTAGATTGACTAAACATGATCCTGACCTGACCTTTCTAACCTCAACTGAGCCATTTTCACATTTCCAGTTTGTAGCGCAGGGCTTAGCTACACCATATTTGTAGCTATGTTAATAAGAGTTTTAGATTAATGAACGAGTAACCCTTCATAACTTCAAAGGCTCCGTTCAAAAGTAACACTGAAACTCAGTTTGGGACTAGAGGAATAAGTCCTGTGCTCATGTGCATCTCCTCTTCCTCTCTCTCTCCTTTCCTCAAATACTTGGTTTTGATTAAGTGCTTTCTCTTTAGCACAAACCATAGTTTTCTCTTACATTTAAACCAGCAAACTATGATCTGCATTTGTCCTCCAAAATATGCAACCCCAGTTCTTGTACAAATCCTTTAATTACTACCGTTACTCACTTTTGATAGTCCGGGATAGGGAGCTAAGGAACCCCTTATCTGGAGCATGTGTGTGTAGTGGACAGAGAAAACTTTCTTTTGTTCTGCTGATGACTGCAGGGAGATTTGCACCTCCACCTTCTGCCTAGAGAGGTCAGCCTCTGAGGACTGCAAGGAGCTTGTATCAGCACTAAAGTCAGCAGCAGAAAGGCTACAATGATAAGCATAAAAGGAGGAGAATCTCCTCCACACTGCTCTGTGTGAACATTGCTGCTGAATCTTAAAAGTTTCTACTGGCTATTATTTCAGTCTCTGCCCCTTGACTGCAACAACTGTAGTCATTGCCCCATTAACACTTGATTCTCTTAAGATGCTATAATTCTGATTCTAATTCTGGTAGCTAAACTGGACTTAATAGCAAATTGCCAACAGGGAGGTAATGCCACATATAATGCTTGTGGAGCCCTCCCAATAAAATAATAAAATAAAACCAAAGGATTGGATCCCATGTAACACCAAGCTAAACCATGGTTTGGCATTACATGACCAAGCCTCAGGCTTGTGCTTCCTCTCTCACCCCTATCTCTCTTTCCTCTTACATGGCAAGCCTAATTAGCTACAGTATTTTCTTCTTGGCATATACCATTGGCATATACCATCATTATCTCGGAACTGGCAGCCTATGGTTTGCACTTGTCCTCGCTCCAAAGCAGGATGGTTGGTTGGTGTCAGGGAACTGCCATCGGACGGAAGGGAGGTGAAAGGGCTCACACAGGTTGGGAGAGACGCAGCAGCTGAAGAGGAAACCAACAGGGAGGTGAAAGGGCTCACACAGGTTGGGAGAGACGCAGCAGCTGATGAGGGAACCAGCAGGGGAGAGGAGCTGAGCTGGAGGGATGGCTCAGAGACACTTCCAGCGAAAACAGTGGAGAGGTTTCAGGACCTCCTGTAAGAACACCCACTCCTCGCCGGAAACTGTCACGCAGAGATTCCAGAAGACGTGTTTCCGTTAAGGAGCTTTTATGTTGGAAGCGATTACGAAAGCAACCACTGTCGGAATCTGCTAGTGACTAGAGTAGCCATGTCTGAGGGGCTCTGTCACAGACAGAGGTTTGTGGACTTGAACAAACTCTGAGGGGATACGATTTTACGCACAAGCAGCTCATCATCCCGACACAGCATTCCGACAGTCTTTGAAAGCAGCTTGTGCAGGAGAAGGTATCATGAGCAACCCAGCCGGAACCGGAGAAGCAGGAGCTGGAGCGGGTCCAAGCCTGGAAGAAAGGTACCAGATGTTGGAGGTCCAGCTAGCGATGCAGACGGCGAGGCTTGAGGAGAGGAGGGCTCAGGATGCAGACAAAGGGGGAAAGCCACCCAGTTCGCCAGAAAGGTACCAGGATTGGTGCAGAAGTTTGGGGGAGCCCAAAACTATCATGGTTTTCGGACAGAAATGCAATATGCCCTCAATCTGCAGTTTGATGAATTCCTGACGAGGAATCACGAGTGGCTTTCGTGATTGAGCATCTTGAAAAGGGGGCGAGAGACTGGGTTAGACCCCTGATGGCAGCGAATAGTGACGTCTTAAAAGACACGATGAAGTTCTTTCGCGCCATGGATCTGATGTTTTCCAGCGATATTGAAAAGGGAGTGGTGCGCAGACAGTTAATGGGTTGCAAACAGGGGAGCCGATCTGTCCGTGAGTACTGGACTGAGTTCACCATGCTTGTTCACAGATTGGGGTGGGACTTATCGGCGGAACCCATTCAAATGCTCTTTGAAGAAGGGCTTTCTTCGGCTGTGAAAGACGAACTTTCCCGGGCGCCCAGGGCGGAGTCTATGGACCAGCTGACCAAATCAGCACTGGCCATAGGAGCGCGCCAGGAGGCGAGAGCATTGGAGAGGCGGGAAGGGAAAGGGGAACGTTGGAAGGAGTTCCGCATTCCAGACATTCCAGAGCCAACTTTCCCACCGGCAGAGCCGATGGAAATCGGAACAGCGCGTGCGCGCAGTTTCAAAGCCCAGTGAGGGGCAAAGAAGGAGGGAAAAGGCGCCCGGAAATGCTATCTCTGCCAACAGCCAGGTCACTTTGCCAGAGTCTGCCCCCAGAGGAAAGAATGGCAAGGGATGGTAGGGGCTGTGGATGGAAGAGAGGAAAATATACCGGAGCAAGTAAAAGCCAACGCCTGGCTGCCACTGTCAGGGCACAGCAGCCAGGCCAAAGAGCAGTGAGAGTGCCCACGCCAGAACCTCCTAAACCCGCCCTAGTGATAGAAGTGACGCTAGAGCTGCCAAACGGACACCCTCTAAAGATAAAGGCGCTGTTGGACTCAGGCAGCTCCTGCAATTTCATGAGCAAAGAGTTTGCAGCTGAACACCAGATACAGACAATCCTTTAAGCAGCCCCCTGCAGGTGACCACGATCGATGGCAGGGAGCTGTTGGGTGGAGAAGTCAGCTTGCAGACCGTCCCAATGATAATGAAGGTAGCAAGGCACACCGAACTGATAGCTTTTAATGTGGCCACCTTGGGAGGAGCTCCCATTATATTGGGGATGAGCTGGCTAGCGTTACATGATCCGCTGGTGGGCTGGCATCAGAGAGTGGTTTCTTTTGGTTCAGCACATTGCTTAGAACACTGCAAAGAGGGAAAGGGTTTGGCAGGGGTCCAAGCCACCCTAGCAGGGACTGAAGTAACAGAGAACGTGAAGGTACCACGACAATATGCAGATCTCCGTGACGTCTTCAGCGAAAGGGAAGCTGACCAACTACCCCCGCATAGACCCTTTGACTGTCAAATCAACTTACTCCCTGGAGCACAGCTCCCTGTAGGCAAGCTGTACGCCATGTCAGACAGAGAGATGCAGGAGTTAAGAGAGTTCATTGACAAGAACCTGAAGAGAGGGTTCATCAGAGAGTCCAGGGCGGTGGGGGCAGCCCAGTGTTTTTTGTGGATAAGAAAACACGAACAAGCCGAGGCTGGTGTGTGACTTCAGGGCCTTAAATGCAGTGTCAGAACCAGTAGCCTTCCCTATGCCCAGGATTGACGACATTTTGACAAGGGTGCGGAAGGGAAAGATTTTTACAAAGCTGGACCTAAGGGGGGCGTACAACCTGGTACGAATAAGGAAGGGGGATGAATGGAAAACCACTATGTTCACCCCTTTAGGGGCATTTGAATATTTGGTTATGCCCTTCGGCCTCCAAGCAGGCTCCGCAACCTTTCAATCGTTTATGAACCACGTCCTGGGGCCTTTGCTTTACAAGAATTGTGTGGCCTTTTTAGACGACGTGTTGGTGTATTCTGAGAATGAGGAGCAGCATGTGAGAGACGTCAGAGAAGTGTTGAGCAGGCTGCAAGCCAACCAGCTGTGGGTGAAACTGGAGAAGTGTCAGTTTCATACCAAGGAGGTGGAATTCCTGGGGTATCGCCTGTCAGACAAGGGATTGGCCATGGATCCCGGCAAGGTCCAGGCTGTGCTGGAATGGAAAGCACCCAAAACAAAGAAGGATGTGCAGAGGTTCCTAGGATTTGGGAACTTCTATCGTAAGTTCATCCGAAACTTTGCCCACCTGACGGCGCCCACTACGGACTGTCTCAGCAGTAAGAAGAAGTTCGTGTGGACTGAGGAGGCGGAGCGCGCATTTGAGGACCTTAAAGGGCCTTCGCCTCGGAACAACAACTCCTGCATGTGGATTTACAAAAACCGATGAGAGTGGAAACTGACGCATCAGACAGAGCGATTGGGGCGGTGCTTCTGCAGCCAGGCAAGAAGGGGTCAGAGTGGAGACCGTGTGCCTTTTTTCGCGAAAGCTGAACAAATCCGAGAGGAACTACACGGTGTATGACCGAGAACTACTAGCCATTCATGAGGCGTTCCGGAGATGGAGGCACCTGCTAATTGGCGCACAACATAAGGTGCAAGTGTGCACTGACCACAAGAACCTAGAGTATTGGAGGACGGCACGAGTGCTCAACCAACGGCAAGTGAGATGGGCCCAGGAGTTCTCCAAATTTAACTTTGAGATTAGTTACGTGCCAGGCCCAGAGAACATTAGGGCGGACGCTCTCTCACGCAAACCTGAATATTTGGAGGGGAGGGGGCACCGAAGAGAGACATGTCATTCCAGAAGACCGCTGGGTGTGTGGGGCGGCATTGGTGGGACAAAGAGAACTGGTAGAGGAAACAGAGAATGATGAATACGCCCAGAATAAGCTCAGAGGTCTTAGGGGTGATGGAGAGGAACCAGGGGGTTTCGAGGAAAGAAATGGAGCTTTGTATTACAAAGGGGCACTGTATATCCCTGAAGGAGAGTTAAGGGGAGGGTACTCAAGCAGTTGCACGACAGCCCTACGGCGGGGCATTTTGGACAACACAAAACCATGTGGTTGGTCACCAGGGAATTTTGGTGGCCTAAGGTGAGGGAAGATGTACGTGAGTATGTAAGAGGGTGCGAGCAATGCCAGCGAGCCAAAGGGGAAAGGCGGGCGCCGGCGGGGCTATTAGAACCCTTACCAACCCCAGAACGACCTTGGGAGGCAGTGTCGATAGATTTTATGACTGATCTGCCGAAGTCCAAAGGGAAAACAGCCATCATGGTGGTGGTAGACCTACTAACAAAGATGTGCCACTTTGTAGCTTGCTCGCATGCAGTCACGGCGGAAGAGACAGCGAAGTTATTTGTAGAAAACATTTTTAGGTTGCACGGGGTGCCATTGAGGGTGGTCTCAGACCGAGGAAAACAATTTACTTCCAGGTTCTGGAGGAAGCTCATGAGCTTACTGCAGGTGGAGGTCAATTTTTCGACTGCCCGGCACCCTGAAACCAACGGGCAGGCGGAAAGAGCAAACGGTGTCCTCCAGCAATACCTGAGGTGTTATGTCAATGACAGAGAGAATGACTGGGTAGAAAAGTTGGCGCTGGCGGAATTTGCCTACAACAATGCCGAGAATGTGTCCACAGGGATGAGCCCCTTCTTGGCTAATTATGGGTGTCATCCCAGGGCTTTCCCAGGGGAGAGGGGGAGAGATGGAGCGTCCCGGCAGCCGAGCATTTTGTGGAAGAAATGGAAGCAATCCATCGTCAGCTCCAACTCAACTTAGAAAGGGCGAAGGAAGAATACAAGAGGCAGGCAGACAAGAACCGAAGGGAAGGTGAAACCATAAGGGTGGGAGATAGGGTGTGGCTGTCAACCCAAGGGTTGCCGTTCAAAGGAGGTTGTAAGAAATTAAGACCCAGGAGGTTGGGTCCCTTTGAGGTCATTCAACAGGTCAACCCAGTGGCTTTCAGGCTCCGGTTACCCAACCACATGAAACTGCACCCAGTATTTCACAGGTCGTTACTGTCACCGTACGAAGGGGGACGAGAAGGGCTGGCCACTCGGGGACGGGTCGTAGAAGAAAGAGAATGCAGCAGCCATGTGGCAGAAATCCTCGACGCCAGGTGGAAGGGGGATCAGGTGGAGTATTTGGTAGCGTGGGAAGGAGAACCGGAGTCAGAAAACACTTGGGTAATGGCTGAAGATATCAATGACGAGGTATTGATAGAAACGTTCCATCAAAGGTTCCCAAGGAAACCTCAGCCTGTAGAGAGGTTCCGGAGGGAATACTTTGGGACCACTGATGAAGGGGAGGAGTTGGAAGGATTCCCGGACTCGGAAGGGGAAGGGGAGATGGACTCTGAGGAGGAGGTGTACTTCGCGACCAGGACCCGCCACAGGGGGCGAGACGTGTTCGAGACAGCGGAAGATGAAGGAAGTTCCTTCCGGGGTTTTGCCTCCTCACCGCCCGTAGAGGAGGGGGCGAGAGGGGGTGAAGGGGGCCCTGGAGGGGAGGTGGATGTCAGGGAACTGCCATCGGACGGAAGGGAGGTGAAAGGGCTCACACAGGTTGGGAGAGACGCAGCAGCTGAAGAGGAAACCAACAGGGAGGTGAAAGGGCTCACACAGGTTGGGAGAGACGCAGCAGCTGATGAGGGAACCAGCAGGGGGAGAGGAGCTGAGCTGGAGGGATGGCTCAGAGACACTTCCAGCGAAAACAGTGGAGAGGTTTCAGGACCTCCTGTAAGAACACCCACTCCTCGCCGGAAACTGTCACGCAGAGATTCCAGAAGACGTGTTTCCGTTAAGGAGCTTTTATGTTGGAAGCGATTACGAAAGCAACCACTGTCGGAATCTGCTAGTGACTAGAGTAGCCATGTCTGAGGGGCTCTGTCACAGACAGAGGTTTGTGGACTTGAACAAACTCTGAGGGGATACGATTTTACGCACAAGCAGCTCATCATCCCATCACAGTTGGATATAATTGCAAATCACTTGCCAGATTTGGATGATACTGCAAACCATGGCTTGCCTCAAACCAAGATGCAACTAATGAAACAGACTGCATGAAGGACAGAAGAACTGCATGAGCCAAACCACTCTACAAAGTGGCTCAGTATATTGTAGATTTATCATGAGATACAGACCAGAGAACATCCAGTTTACCAGGATCTGAAGAGCCTGATTTCATAAGTAAATAGTCTTTTACTGACTCACTTGTACCATTCAAATACAGTAATTCAAATTTAGTTTGGCTGCTTGACAAATTGAGAAGTTGTTTGAACACTTTTCTTTAACGCAAAGAGAAAACTTTCTTTTCCGGTCCTATAAAACAATAGTGTGAATCGGTATGACTAATTTGACCCAACAACCCCCACCCTCTTGCACACATGAAAAAACCTCACTGCAGTCAACCAAATGCAATCAGCCATGCTCTGGGCACTCCAGTGTCTCACACTGCCAACAAAAACAAACAAATAAAAAAAGAACCTATCCATGTGACACTGATGTAAAAACTCCAAACATGCACTATGCAAAAGAATGAAATATCATGACCCTCTTTCTTTCTCCCACCTCTTTCTCCCCACCTCTTTCTCCCCCAAACTCAAAATTCCTATGATAGCAGTGTCTCACACTGAATGTAACTGACCTGTAGAACAGACTTTATGAACTGAAAACGTGGTCTGTGTTATTTATGGAATTATCTCTTAAAATTCAGGATTGTTATATATTTACTTTTGTTCTGTTTTATGAACAATGTCTGTTTGTAAGAAAAACGCCTGCTTCGCACTCAGTGGCAAACCCATACTTGCCACCTTGCACATTCACAGAACCATGGCCAACGCCAGCTCCCTGACTTGTGTGCTTATAGAACGCACACATGTTCAAACATATACATGTGTTTGCTGTATGGATTCATTACATTGTGTGTGCAGCTTAATATTTTGATGTGCGAAACAGATGCAAAGAAAGCCAGATTCTAAAGCTCCTTGATGATAAGTTAAACACAGTGATTTGTTCTTTTTGCACAAAGACCTTGTTGCATTTCTGTTGGGAATATGAATTGTTATGCTCTTCGTGGGGAAAAAATAAAATCTTGAACTATTTTTCAATCGATTTCAACAGAGGAAGAGGCTAGCATATGAATCTAACTTGATAAACTGCGGTTTGCAGCTTGAAGCAACAAGTTCGGTGAGTGCAGCTTCCTTTGTACTTTTGGCAAAGTGTGAACTTTTTCATCAAAAGGGGAGAAAATGAATTTGTATGGAAGTGGCATTGAAATCTATCCAGGTGCTTGCATTTTTTCACACCATTCTCTCTTTAATCTGGCAATAGTGGGTGGGGGGAAACTCAACTCCCTCTTAGTTATAGATACAGTGGTACCTCTGGTTACGTACTTAATTCGTTCCGGAGGTCTGTTCTTAACCTGAAACTGTTCTTAACCTGAAGCACCACTTTAGCTAATGGGGCCTCCTGCTGCCGCTGCACTGCCGCTGCGCAATTTCTGTTCTCATCCTGAAGCAAAGTTCATAACCCGAGGTAATATTTCTGGGTTAGCGGAGTCTGTAACCTGAAGCGTATGTAACCTGAAGCGTATGTAACCCAAGGTACCACTGTATTCTATTTCTCAGGTGTGTGTGGCAAATCAATACATTCAGAACACTTGGTTTGAAGTGGGTTTAGTTGCACAAAAGAATGTCTCAAATGTTACAGCAAAGAGAGGTGCCTGCACTTTCACCATGGGAGAACCATGCCTTTTCTGTTATGTTTTAATGGCGCTGTCCCTTCCACCGAAATGAAGAGGAAAAGCAGCTTACGCAAGAGCTCTTGTCTGCACACTGCAACACAGTCAGTGCTCTGGTTCATAGTGTACCTTCTCCACAGCAAGTTAATCTGCTTTTATCTGAAATAGTGTAGATTTGTAATGCTTGCAGAGTATTTCTGTCTTGTCAACTGCTCCTTCTAGTGTTCCTGCATAACTATTAGAAGTTCATTCTGTTTCTGCACTTGCTGGGCTATTATGGGATGACTCTACGGTTGCTAGAAATGAAGTGATATGGTTCAGCCTCTCTAACCCCCTATGTTATTCTACCTTTTTTTAAGGAAAAAAAATCAGATAAAAATTGCAGAGTTTCTCACTTATGCACAACAATCATGCCTTCTTTCAGATTTCCATCCACCCATATTGCTGAAATATAGTAAGCCGAAGAGAGAAAAATTACCCCTCTTCAAACCGGCACAATTTACAGTGCCTCTACCAATTCCCAGATATTTTATATTGTGGACAATGAAGGTCAGCTGCATATATTACATGTGGCAAGTGATAAAAATCAAGAGCAAATCAAGCTTTAGAGCCAACTTGGTCATATTTATGACCGTATGTCATTTTTATGCTAGTGTCATCAACTGGCATTGTTCATCAATCAAAACATTTAGAAACAGCAACCTTGCCCTCAGAGGTAAATTTTGTAATCACAACTAGTAATAGAATTTCTTTATACAACTTTGTTTATAACATGCTCGATGGATTTATTGACTTAAAACAAGACAGTTATTTGTCCCTTTAATAGACACTTTTCTCCAGTGAAAACCTATATCTCCTTTTCCATGGAGCTTAGTTTGTGCCAGGGCTTAAACTCACAAATCTACTTTCAATGCCAGGTCTCAGCCTCAAAACAATGAAACAACAATAAAGCCAAAAAGTGCCTCTGGGTATCTTTACCATACCTTCTGATCATCTTTGAATCATCAGAAGAAGTGATGGGTAAAGTCCTCATGACTTACCTTACACTTAACACATGCATACCTGCAAACTCCTAGACCTCTTTGCATCTTCTTCCTTTCCCTTCTCTCAGGCCTACTTGGAGGAATGAGGGATGCAGAAGGAGAAGCAATATTGGACGCTGCATGGTCTCTTTCTCTTTCCCTCTCCATCCATCTCTCTGTGTGTGCATGGATGCCTAGCAGACAGCAACCCAAGCTCAAGGATAGAAGTATTGTAAGAAAGACAAGCAGCCATGTTGAAATAGAAATTTCCTGGCTCTCCCTCAGGAAATAGCTACTTCTTCATTGAACACCAATCTTTCCTATTCACAATTTAATCCCCGAAGAACCAATAGTGTGCCAGGTTAGGGGAGGATGATGACTTCCAGCAGGCCTTGCACTCTTAAAAAATAAGCACCACCTTTCCAGTTGTGATCTTATGATGCTCCTACTGTTATTGGTGTGTCAAGTGCAGGAGAACTTCTCAGCTGAGTTTGTCCAAAAATGTCCCTGAGTAGTCCTTTGCTGGTAATGGCTTAAAACAGTGATGAAATTTTATCTATGAATATCCATTCACTGCAGGTTGTGGATGAAAAGCTTATATTTGTAAAAGTGCACGCACCTTGGGAATTGCTGTGCAGCTTTGCTGAAATTATGCACATCAAATTGCCCCTGCAACCCAATGACCTGAAAACCCGTGACTCACCATTTAAGTGGATTACCAGATTCTTCAGTGTGGATGAAAATATCATCAAACCAGAGCAGGAGTTTTTCACTGCGCCATTTGAAATCGACCGTCTGTCAGACTTTTACATACAGGACAAGGACACTTTCTTCAATCCAGCAACCAGGAGCCGGATAGTAAGTTCCCAACATTTACATAAGGATGAATTTACTTTCTGTTGGTGTAAATATCTAGGCCGGTTTTTTTCCCTAGCTGTTTTGAGCATCAGACCAGCCAAACAATGCGCGAACAATGTTTTGCACCATACAATCAGTCTCTGGGGATGGGTTGTAGCTTGGAGAAGGTTCATTACTTGGAGAAGGGCCAAATCTCAGGGAGAGAACTCCTGCTTTGTTGTGCAAAAGGTCCTCAGTTCACCCTCTGGTGTCTCTACGTTGAGCTTGAAAATGCTTCTGTTTGAAACATTGGAAAGCCTGCTGTCAAACAACGAACAGAATACTGAGTTACATGGACCAATGGTCTGAGTCAGTATAAGGTAACTTCCCATGTTCCTCTGACTTTGGTTCAAATGAGAACTTTTGGCTCATTCTGCTGTGGGAGTTTTTAATCCGACAACTTTTCTTGGTCTTTATCAAGTACATACAGTGGACGCTCGGGTTGCGAACGTGATCCATGCGGGAGGCACGTTCGCAACCCGCAGCGCCATGTCTGGGCATGTGCGGGTTGTGATTCAAAGCACAATTTAGTGCTTTTGTACATGCGCGAGCGCCCAAACCCGGAAGTAACCCATTCCAGTACTTCCGGGTTTCGCCACATCCGTAACCCAAAAACGTGCAACCTGAAGCAGCTGAGGTATGACTGTAGTTATGTGAGCAAATGTAGCCTGTGGGCCAGACATAGGCAAACTCAGCCCTCCAGATGTTTTGGGACTACAGCTCCCATCATCCCTGACCACTGGTCCTGTTAACTAGGGATGATGGGAGTTGTAGTCCCAAAACATCTGGAGGACCGAGTTTGCCTATGCTTGCTGTGGGCCATGACTTACACATATTGTCCCCTGCAGCTTCTGTGCCTTCAAGAAAACTACTCTGTCACAATCACAAATGTTTTAGCTCAGAAGTGTTCCCATCCTGAGAAAACTCCTTAATTCCACTTTTAATTTTAATTTTGGTAGATTTACAAAAAGGAAAGCACACCAATAAATAAACTTTAGAAAGGCGAACATTAGATGCAGACGCACAAAGCATTTTTTTATTTAAAAAAAGTCAAGACTCCTTGTGCTCTGCTCTTCTCCCCCTTTCTTCCTGCCCAGGGCAGCCCTGCCCTCTGCCTGCCCCTCAAAGCTGGTGCATCACACAGGGCTGGGCCACAGCAGCTACAGTCTCTCTTGCCCACACTCAAGCAGTGTCTGCAAGCTGCCCAAGTGAGGAGACCGACAGCAGCAGCAACGGAGAGGCCATGGAGAAGCAACAGGATGCTCCATTGCAGCCACAATCACCGTCTTGTGGGACAAGTGCCATCTCATCTTCCTCCCCAAGTTCAGCAGGAGTAGAACTGGTGGGGAAAATAGGGATATTCCAAGATAAAATCAGAATCCAGGATGGCTTTCGTAATTCCAGGATTGTCCCTGAAAAATCAGGACACTTGTGGTGGGTAGCTCAGTTCTGCAAGTGACAACAGGAGTCTGGCTGAAGAATGTGAGAGTTAGAAGGAGCAGGGGTGCCCCATCACCCTTACTCCACTCACTGCAACCTGAAGTAGGATTGAGTCAGGAGGAAAGTTCCTTGCTGGGCAGAGAAGCCTCTCTCTGTCCATTTGCCAAGTTCCTGCTTCCATTTCCTTTCTCCCTGATTCACAGCGTAAACCTACCTCCCATTTCAGAATATCTGTTCAGGCTACTTGCCCACTTCAGTGGTTTTCATTTAGTAGTAATACTTAAGGAACACTATGTATACTGCTCCATGAACTGCCATTTTAGGATTAATAATGTGCCTGATTAGCACTATTAAGTATACATCAGAAGTGAATTTGTAAAAGTCGGTCCCCTTTTGCAGGTTGGGAGTCGGCGGTGGGTCTTTAGTCTGGACCAGTTGGAGACCACTGATCAAGACAATGCATAATTTTAGACACTCCTACCACATGATAGATGTCCCCTGAGCTTATCCTGGTCTGATTCTTCATTAATAAAGAACTTTGGGGGTTTTTTCAGGTTCACTTTATTCTTTGCCGTGGGGAATATGCTATAAGAGACAACGTGAGAAAGTTTGGAATCAATAAGCTACTGGACTCTGGGATCTACAAAGCAGCTTTTCCGCTCCATGATGTAAGTCCAATATTTTTAAAAAGTGCCTTTCTGAAAAACCAAAGAAACAACCCTGCAATCCTATAAATAATCCTAGAAACAATGATACAAAAGGTTCTATAGAAGCCAATAAGAAAATACTAGCTGGGCTTTTAGCTGTTTGTGGAACATTCATCCTGATTTGCTTGTGCAAAAACTGCAAGGAGGCTAAAAAAAAATTAACTACGTATTTAGCATTCATTCTGATTTGTTTGTGGGAAGGTAATATTAATGTTTCATCAAGGAATTATCATCATACACTTTCCAGTGCATTTCGCTTATCACAAAAAGCCTGATTTGGGGGTGGGGAGTGAATTTGTTGCACAACATCTCCAAAGCAATTATAATTGCTCTACCTGAATATGTCAGTATGTGATTGACACCCAAAATCACACCCAAAAATCATAGCAGTCTGGAAGCACCCTGTATGCCAAATTGTGGCCTGTCTCTTTTGCAGCTATTTCAGTGGACAAACAATACATTTTCTGGAATATTGCAAAAGTGACATATACCATATTTTTCCATGTATAAGATGCCCCCATGTATAAGATGACCCCTATTTTTGAGCCCAAAATTAAGAATATTTAATTGCAACGTTCCGTGTATAAGACGACCCCCAATTTTAAACTTAAAAAATGTAGGGAAAATATAGTCTTATACACTGAAAAATACAGTATATATTTTATACACAGCTTTAACAAAGTCACTACCTGGCTTTTGCCCTCAGTGTCTTTACAAGAATTATGTATATTTAGAGCAGTCTGTGCAAAATACCATCTAGTATTGGGGAATATATTGGCCCATGGACCAAATAACAAAAGTAATTATGCTTAGCGTCATATGAAGGAAGATTCTGAACCTTTTAAAAGTACTCGGATGGAGTAAAATGGTTATTTTAAACCTCAGTGAATAAGACAAAGAAACAATAGGATTATTTCTCTATACGTTTTCTTATTTTCAAGCTGCAACAAAAGATGAAAACCCAGGCTTTATTTTCAGGAAGTTTTTTTTATATCTTCCATGTTGGTTTTGAAATAGAATTCCTGAGCTCTGAGTTGGCTTTATTCTTTAGCCGTGTACATTTTCCCTCCTTTCTTTTAACTCAGAGATGCCAATTTGACCCATGCTTGTGGCGGGTAGCTTTTGCCGCTTAGACTCACAGTAGAGCTTTCTCCCTTGACTAGTGCAATCATCTCTCCCAAGGTTGTCAACTATTCTTTGAGCTGAAATAAAACTGGTGTTATGAAACCTTTATTTTCAGTAACGATGGCTCTCTCAAAGGTGAAAACTCTTAATTTTATATATCTTTATTATTTGTAAACAGAATCTTTTCGTGAGGTAATGCTTTATCATCCATCTTTGTGCTTTTGCCCTTCTAGACTGCGGTGTTTTGTGATTCACATGTTTTGTTCTTCGCTCTTCTTTTTTTGGCTACGTTTGCACTTTTTGAAAATAAATAAATATAATATAAAAAATAAAATGCAACTAGTGTGACACTGATTCATCACATGGTGCTGGGCCTCAGTGACATCATCATAATCACCATCATCATATATATTTTTTATACCCCGCCCTCCCCGGCCAGAGTCGGACTCAGGGTGGCTAACACCAATAAAATTACAATAAAACATAATGGGGGGAGGGACAAACCCCCCCCCCCGTTTGTTAAAATACGGGTTAAAATATAATTTAAAATGCAGCCTCATTTTAATAGTAGTCCATAAATCAAAACCATAAGGGGAGGGAAACATAAGGGTTATACTGAGTCCAAACCAAAGGCCAGGTGGAACAACTCTGTCTTGCAGGCCCTGCAGAAAGATGTCAAGTCCCGCAGGGCCCTAGTCTCTTGTGACAAAGCGTTCCACCAAGTCGGGGCCAGTACTGAAAAGGCTCTGGCCCTAGTTGAGGCCAATCTAACCACCTTGTGGCTTGGAACCTCCAAAGTGTTGTTATTTGTGGACACTTAAGGTCCTCCGCAGGGCATATCAGGAGAGGCGGTTCTGTAGGTATGGCAGCATCTTCTCCTCAAGAGAGGAGGCTGGCAGTAGCAGCCAGGGAAAGACCATGGAGAGGCAACGAGATGCTCCCTTGCCGCCACTGCTTGAGCGCAGGCTCAATCTCCTTCCTGAGCTCAGCAGCAAGAGCACTGGAGGGGGAAATAGGGACATTCCAGCATCAAATCAGAAGCCAGGATGGCTTTCGTAATTCCTGGGCTGTCCATGGGAAATCAGGGCACTTGGAGGATATGCCATCATCCCTGACCGTTTGCCACGCTGAGTGGGACTGATGGGAGCTCAAGAGTCCAGCAGCTCCTGGAGGGCACCAGGTTGAAGAAGACTGTTCTACTTAATATCTCTTATAATTCAGAGGAAGCTAGAAATAGCCTCAGACATTCACATGTCAAAACGGGCAGCATTAACCGTCTCTGTGGTTTTTTTCGGCATAGTATGGGAAGCTTCTGTGTCAATTGCAGCAGCTACCAGGAAATCATTTATGACTGCTGCGGCACATTACAGCAGCAGCATTACAAAAATAATGATGATGATAAAACATCAGATTGTAGTTTCCTCTAAATGAAAAATGGTGTAATTTGACCCTCAGGCATTTCCTGGTAGGCCCTGCAAACGCTACAAGAGAAGCGATTCCATTTTTGAGCAGGGGACTGAAGAACAGCTAACATTAAAAAGGCATGACATGAACTGTGCCTTCAAGGAGGTGGGAATTCTTTAATTATCCACTCAATACTCTGTTTCACAGTCAAGATTCAACTACAAGTCACAGGATCCCAACTGTCCAAATGAGCGGTATCTGCTGTACAGAGAATGGGCTCACCCTCGAAATATTTTCAAGTTACAGCCCTTAGATCTTGTCAGGTAGGTATGGACAAGCATGAGAGAGGCTGAAAGTCCTCTTCCAATGTGATCCCTCCCTGCTCCATATATAATCATTATTCGTAGAGAAAACATGCAGAGTGCAGGTAGCTTAGTCAAGTCACCTTAATTTGTTTCTCTTGATGTTCCTTGGAGACAGTTTGATTTTATATAATCATCTACTGCTTACATATTTGTGAGAATGTTCAAGATGCCTAAATATATTTGTGTAATGAATAAGAAAACCAAGGTCCCACTTGGAAGTTATCTCAAAGCCATGTAATTTGCAGCACAATTCTATGCATGTCTATCCACCGTATACCCCTTCTCATTCAGTGGGGCTTACTCCTGAGTCATTGTCTAAGACTGCATTGGATTGCAGTTTTCATGCAACTGAATTATTTGTTTCTTGATATTTATAATTGACCTTATCCCTAACACTGTAGCATAAATGGAAATCTTTGAAACCAGGTTTCTAAAAAATGAAATAAATATGTTAAACCCCCCCCCCAAAAAAAAATGTTAAGCAAAAGCTATAAAAACAGCCCTAAACCAAAAATTACCAGGCTTACACGTCAGCATAATTACAAAATAAGGAGGTTTCACATTAGTAGAGAATCCAACTGTGGATATTATACAAATTTTAACACAAGTGAAATTGTTATTGTGGTGCTCTGATAGAGTTCCTTTGGGACAAGGTTCCCAAGGTTTCTTAACATCTGTGTGACAAGCAGAAATTTAAAAGACAAAATGTATTTTCTATTTCTGTACCTCTGTGCCAGGAAGTGTCTTGTTAAACTTGCTAGGGCAAAAGAAAAAAGATGGCATCGCTGCTTCTGAATGCTCTTGGAGATCATTCATAAACACAGAAAATGAGGCCTCAAGGTTCAATTCCTTTAAGGCAGGCTTCCTCAGCCTCGTCCCTCCAGATGTTTTTGGCCTACAACTCCCATGATCCCTAGCTAGCAGGACCAATGGTCAGGGATGCTGGGAATTGTAGTCTCAAAACATCTGGAGGGCCGAGGTTGAGGAAGCCTGCTTTAAGGAATCTGGAAGCACAAAACTGATGGCAGTACACAATGATCCATGCATGTCAGCATTAAGTATAAGGAGTTTCTCACTTCCCCAAATTATTGGATTGAGAGGAAATGTTCATAGTTTCTAAATATGTGTTTTTATCTGCAGGAAATATTATGGGGAGAAAATTGGAATCTATTTTGCCTGGCTAGGATTCTATACTCAGATGTTACTCCTGGCAGCAGTTGTTGGACTCGGGTGCTTTTTGTATGGCTATTTCATGAAGGACAACTGCACTTGGAGGTAACCTGCACCAGTTCATGTCGTTCACATTGGATATGATCCAACATGCATATGATCCAGCATAAAGATCCAAATCTCATTAAGTGGACCATACCCAAAAAATAATTTGTTGTTCCAGAGTTCAACAGAACTCAGTAGGATTTTCAGTGCAATCTCAAACATATCAACTCAGAATTCAATGGGGATTACTCTCAAGTCAGTGGGGTTGAGACCGCAGCCTAAATTACGAGCATGCATGTATAGGATTGCACTGTTTGTTGTTTTATAATAACATACGAATGGTCAAGTTATTGTTTAAGTGTTCAAACATATTTTGAAAGATTAGAAAAAGTTGCCACCTCTTTTGCTACTGAGGAACCACATTCACAGACTTTCCAAGTGTCCCTATTTTCCAGGGACATCCTGATTTAGAGAAGCCGTCCTGGTTTCTGATTTGATCCCAGAATGTCCCGTTTTCCCTTAGGATGTCCCTATTTTCATTGGATAAATGTTGGAGGTTATGACGTTATCTGAACCCCTGAGCTGTCTGAAGGCAATTCTGTATAGGGAAGTTTTTTTAAAAAATGTTTAATGTTTTATTATGTTTTAATATATGTTGAAAGCTGCCCAGTGTGTCTGTGGCAACCCAGTAAGTTGTGTGGGGTATAAATAGTAAAATTATCATTATGGAATGGGACATCTGTCATCAGAGAAATGTTGAAGGGTATGCATTCAATGTGAAAAGTATGCTAAGGCCAGCTAATCTTCAGTGTGTGCTACTGTAATGCCCCACAAATCTCCTATCATCTATGACCCATTTCCCAAACTTATTTTTTGCCTCTGCTCTTACTCCTTTGTTTCATAGTTCTCTAGAGTAATATATTTTGCAGATCCTCTCTTCTGGGCATACCATAGGCTTAGAGGGAAATCTCAGCACTTCTTTTTATACAACTCTCAGCTGAAATCAGTGGGAAAAAATCTGCTGTTGAAACTCACAAACCCATATAAATATTAGTTTGATTTATGAATTTTAAAAAATTGTGATGCTAACGATAATAAAATAAAACACAAAATAGTGATGGGGGAAAATAAAGGCGGAAATCAACAGGGCCATGCTACACAAGGGGTTTTAGGATTGTAGCCAAAGAACAATGAAAGATAAGTTACTGCAGTCTACATACAGAAGATGTGTTTGGAACGCAATTGCAAGAAGTCACATGGAGGGGTGGCATTTTGGAAAGAGAAACAGAAGGTGGGAGAAGATTAAGCAGTTTCTCCACTCAATCATTTTCCTGGAGAATGGAGTTACGGAGAAGTTATCGCTTCTCCATAACTTGTTTTTTTCTGTACAAATGGGTCGCTATGGTAAAAAGCACTATTGTATGTAAAGTCTACTTTGGCCTTATTGAAGTAACTGCAAAGTGGAAACTTAAGGGAATATAGCATGCGGGGAGAACTATGAAAGCAGTGAGTTAAGCAATTTGTTAATTGAATTACTCAACATCTCAGATGGATCCTTTCTATTTTAGCCAAGAAGTCTGTGACCCGAACATAGGAGGTAAAATCATCATGTGCCCCCAATGTGACCAAGAATGTACATACTGGAACCTCACAATCACCTGTGAATCGTCCAAGGTAACAACAACATTTACTCTTGCGGAATATGGAAAGACATTGTTTTCTGGGGCATGAAATTTTATTTTGAAGCGAAGTTAGAAATACATGCAAAAGAAAAAAGAAAAGAAAAGAGGATGGATACTACATAATAATACGAGACCACTAATGAAAAGGGGAGAATGCAACTTACTGATTACAATCATTGAACTTGTGCGAAGGTTAAGTTAAAAGACAACCTCAGGAAAAGCTCATTAGATAAATGTGTCTATTTTTATTTGACTGGGATGTGAAACTTGAAGGCAAGTTCCTATGCTGTCTTTCAGTATCCTATCTGTTTGCTCAAGTAAATGAGTTTTGGCTTTATGAAGTATCCTTAGGAAAATGGATAGTCCATTAACTTGAATTGCTCCTGTCTACATGTGGTTTGTCCTGCGCATCTGTGTTTGAATGAGGAAGAGTGATAGTCTGGTGCTTCTAATCGCAAGGCTGACCTGGCCACAAACTGTTTTCTTCTCCTTCATAAATAGAGTGACCCAAACCTCACTTTAGAAGAGTAATATAAGGGATATGATAGAGATGAAAGTGAAATAAATTGAATAAACAGAGCAAAGATATGAAATCATTGTGTGTGTGTGTGTGTGTGTGTGTGTGTGTGTGTGTGTGTGTTTTAATAGACCTAGACTTAGCATGCTTTTCATGTGATAAGCTTATCACATTATAGTTTGCCTTCCACTGGTAGATCTTTTGTTTATATGATGATAAGAATGCAACAGCTGGAGCTGCTAATCTGTGATATTAGTTTTACGCAACCATATTATCATCTGATGGTTGCTGCCATCACATTGGGAATATATAATTTTTGACATTTCATTTGTTTTCAGTTTGCTCAGGTTTTTATGTATGCGTTTAATATTCCCGACACTGAAACATATTTTGCCTCTCTTTTCAGGATAAGTAGGCATTATAAAATGATTTGCCTTTAAAAACAAAACAAAAAAAACCCTTATGTATCACATATTTTGCCATTTTCCATAATGTGGGACTAGATTGGCATTACAGTTCTGTTTTCTAAAACTTGGCAGAACACTAAAAAAAGGAAACTTTATTTAACTATAAAATGCAGGCTGTTATCAAGGCGACTTCTCAAACAGTAGCAAGCTGTGTGCCATGGCCATTGCTTCCAGTTGGCAAATGCTTCCTCCCCTCTAGCAAGCAGATGGTCAATGTCTTCAGCTGATTAGCTGTGGGGCAAGAAAGCAGCAAGGAGGTGTCTGAGTTCAGCCCTTCCCCATAAATGATAAGGAATGCTTTTCTTGAGGCATTGTATGCATACTGCAGGAATGCCAAATGTCTATGTGGGGCTTCCATTTTCATGGCAGAAGAGATGGTCTGCCATGTGAAAATCTGTTTCCATGCATAGGTAGCCCCTCTTATGAAATTAGGTGTTGTGTAACAGCCTATGTTCTTTAGCGGTGCCAAAAAACAATGCAAAATTGTATGCTAACCCCTATTTTTCTGAATGCTTTCCAGAAGCTGTGTATCTTCGATAGCTTCGGAACACTTGTGTTTGCAGTATTTATGGGAGTATGGGGTAAGCTAATTTCAAATACATTATTTGAGGCAGTAGGTTGGGGGGGCTGGGGGGGATTAAATCCAAACCAAAGCCAAAATACAGTGGTACCTCGGGTTAAGAACTTAATTTGTTCCAGAGGGCCGTTCTTAACCTGAAACTTTTCTTAACCTGAGGTACCACTTTAGCTAATGTTTGTTGTATGTGACACATGCTGCTGTTGCAGTCATGTCCCGCCTGCTTTGGAGCTTTCTATAGGCATCCAATTGGCCACTGTGAGGATGTAGGGCTAGACTGGCTGGGCCTTTGGTCCGGTCCAGAGGAGCTCAGCTCTCCTTAAGTCCTTCAGCTTCCATATGTGCTCAAAAGGCACAGTTTTTGCAACATTAGTGAAGCATTCCTCTTTTCTCCATTGTAATCAGTGTAGGCCCAATTCCTACATTGTGCAGAAAGGACCCAATTCCTACATTGTGCAGAAAGGATCTCCTGGTAATATGGCTTCTGGCAAAGGCCCTCATCTGCACAGTACTTAGATCATTTGGGTATATAAGCTGTGAGACAATCTTTAGGATATCCTGGTCCCAAACTGTATAGGGCTTTATACACCAAAGCCAGCACATTGAAATTTACCAGGGGACACTGGTAGTGCTGTGGGTTAAACCACTGAGCCTAGGGCTTGCCGATCAGAAGGTCGGCGGTTTGAATCCCTGCGATGGAGTGACCTCCCGTTGCTCTGTCCCTGCTCCTGCCAACCTAGCAGTTCGAAAGCATGTCAAAGTGCAAGTAGATAAATAGGTACTGCTCTGGCAGGAAGGTGAATGGTGTTTCTGTATGCTGCTCTGGTTTGCGAGAAGCGGCTAAGTCATACTGGCCACATGACCTGGAAGCTGTACACCGGCTCCCTCGGCCAATAAAGTGTGATGAGCACCACAACCCCAGAGTCATCTACAACTGGACCTAATGATCAGGGGTCCCTTTACCTTTACCTTTTCTCAATGAAAAGAACAGTAACAGCAGAGAAGGGTCCCTGAAAAACAGTGGTAACCTTCCCCTGCAATGTGTATCTCTAAAGGAGACTTGAGTATGTTTTAGGTCAGGAGTGGAGAACCTGTGGCCTTCCAGATGTTATTGAAGTACAGTGGTACCTCTGGTTGCGAATGGGATCTGTTCTGGAGGCCTGTTTGCAACCTGAAAAGCCCGCAACCTGAAGCACCGTATCTGCGCAGGTGCGCAGCGCGATTTGGCGCTTGTGCGCATGTGGTGAAACCCAGAATTTACCCTTTCCGGTACTTCCGGGTCGCTGTGGGACGCAACCTGAAAAAACGTAACATGAAGCAAACGTTACATGAGGTATGACTGTACAGCTCACATAATTTCTGACCATTGGCCACACTGGCTGCTGTGAGTTCTTTCTGCACGTATAGAAATAATGATGCATCACAAAAAGAAGACGATTTAAGTAAAAACAAAAAACAAAAATAGTTTCCACTGTTTTCCTTATAAACACCTGGTTGCCATTCCATCAACCGGCAAGATTTGACTCCATTTCTTCACAGATTGGCAAAGAAAACTAATAAACCTTGGATTCATAATCCTCAGCAGCTAAAATTATCCTTGCTTAATCCTTCTTCATCAGTTACTTTGTTTCTGGAGTTTTGGAAAAGACGGCAGGCTGAGCTGGAATACGAATGGGACACTGTTGAGTTCTTGGAGCAAGAAGAACATGTACGTCCCGAATATGAAGCGAGATGCCATCGCGTCGTAGTGAACGAAATAACACAGGTCTGGATGGGTGTTGTTTTTTTTAATGTGCTTGGACATCTTATAAGAAAAGTTCTTTGGATTCTATCAAGTCCAGTATTTTTGTCAGGAGTCAGATCTGTTTGTAGATATGTATATCAGCTAAGCTGAATGTAATGTAATTCGGACAAAGAATCACAACTTGGTACTACTATGCCCTTGTTTGCTGGTATTTTTAAGAATGTTGTTGTTGATTACTGGTAGTTTTAACTTGCATTTTTTATGTTGTACCCTGCCTTGGTATTGATACCTTAAGCAAATAATATATAAAATAAAATATTACATAGATAAAACTCCAACCTCAGGAATTTTGGGTGGAAAGGCTTGGAAAAGCTCTTCAGGAAACCTGGGATTGTATTCACTGTTAGTAATTCTTGGCATAAATGAACAAACATGACTAACATAGGCTGGTTAATTTCAGTGGTTCTTCTCTGAGTATAACTTAGTTAGAACCGAGTTGACAGACCCTCCAAGTGTCGCTATTTTCCAGGGACAGTCCCGGATTTACAGAAGCTGTCCTGGTTTCTGACTTGATCCTGGAAGGTCCCACTTTTCCTTAGGACATCCCTGTTTCCATTGGAGAAATGTTGGAGGGTATGGAATAGGATGTCCCTATTTTCATCAGAGAAATGTTGGAAGGGTGAATTTGATGTCCACATCACTGTTGACAGTACTAGGAGAGAGCAGAAACTAGTTTTGAGATATAGTAGTTTTTTACAGTCTTATTCCAGTTCCTGTTATTCAGTCTTGATTTTCAGCAGTATTAATGCTTAAAGATGCTCAAAATATAAATATATTTTTTAAAAACCTAGAAATTCTGACAGGGTTGTTTTAAAAGTCAGATCAGAGGTTTAGGTGAAGTGAATTAGTGTGATAATCTTTGTCTTTGCTAACAGTTACATCGATTCTCACCACTGTCAGCTGTCAGCTTTTCGTAACGAAAATTGGCAAATGTGTTGCCAATTGAAATCCTACAAGAATCACTCAAAATTAAGAGGACAAAATAATCTTTGATTAACCAAGAGATATTGCTAACAGAGAATAGAGCGACAGTAAAGAAGCTTTACATAAGGAGCATAGGGAGGTTCCATATACTTGTGGGGTCGTCCACACTTCTACTTGTCCAACTGCTTCCCCAGGGAAAGCCACTCTTTACCACAGAATCAGAGCAAACATTAGTTGGGTTTCCCAAGGATTGACATTTGCGCCAATTCAGCAGTGAAGAGGGGGATTCCCCAGAGAAAGTGGCAGGGCATACCAGTGGCGTAGTGGAGGTGGGCACGGGGCAGTTGCCTTGGGTACAAAATTGTTAGGAGCACAAAATTTCAATACCCAATGCTGCCTTAATACAGCTGCACGTTTCTTTGCTGGGCTCTATTGGAAACGGCTTCTCCATGTGAACCAGGAAGTGACCTCTCCAGACCAGGCATAGGCAAACTCTGACCCTCCAGAAGTTTGGGGCTACAATTCCCATCATCCCTGATCACTGGTCCTGTTAGCTTATGGTTACCAGATTTTTTCAATGAATCCAGGGACACTTTTTTTTTTTTTAAGCTGAGTAGCAACAGGGAGTCAGTAGTGGGGATGGTGAGGCAAAAGACCCTGGGTGCAAGCACACAAGCATATTGTACAAAGGTGCAAGCCCTTCTTTCACACCCTGTGAAACATAAATGCACAGAGTTTTTAAAAAAACTGGGCAACGGTGCGCTGCGTGCCCATGACTCCTGAGCCTTCCCCAATCTCCTTCCCCCTTCTCCCTTTGTTTTGACAAATCAGGGGAGGCTCGGGAGTCACAGGCGGGCGGCCGTTGCCCAGGAGGGGCCAGCCTGGTAGTGCAGTTAGCGCTGGCTGGCTTCAGGAACTGCTCGCTGTTGTGGTACAGGAAAAATGATGGGCGCCACGGCAGCGAGCAGCTCCTGAAGCCAGCCAGAGCCAACTGCACTAACAGGCTGGCTCCAGGCTGCTAAGGCTTCCACTGCCATGTTTCCCAGGGACAGATTTGCAAATCTGGGGACATTCTGGGTCCAGGAACAGATTTGAAAATCCAGGGACTGTCCCCGAGACATCTGGTAACCCTATGTTAGCTATGGATGATGGGAATTGTAGTCCCAAACATCTGGAGGGCTGGAGTTTGCCTATGCCTGCTCCAGAAAATGGAATGGCTCGTCTTTTCTTATTTCAGCGGCTGCGATCTCCTGGGTCATGTGGACACCATTAGGCAGTTGAATGCACAAATGTGCTCTGTCCATTTCCTTCCTTCCCTCCCACCCCTCCACATGGCCCCGGGCTCTGGCAACCTAAGCTACACCCCTGGGGCAAACAGAAAGCTGTTCAGACCCGTGCCTAAGAAAGCATGGATCAAGCAGAAAACCATTCGGACCCATGCATTCTAGTGTGGAAGGGTGGACGAGCTTTAAAGCAGACCGCTAACCCATCTGTTCACACAGACTGGCAGCTGCTCTCCTGGGTTTCAGACAGGAGTTTTCCTAGCCTGGGAATTCATCCCAAGAGCCTCACACATTTAAAGGATATGCTCCACTACTGAGCTCTGGCCCTCATTCTGTTATATTTCAATTACGTATTCAATTATATAATAAGTTTGTCACTGCCTGAGTACTGCACATTTTAAATTCATAGTTCGGCTCTGGGGGGAAAGACCCAAACTTATTCTAATGACCTAGTAAAGTTCTCATATTAGAACTTTATTTCATCCTGGAAAGGAGGCTGTTCTGAGGGCAAGTCTCGCCGTCAATAAATAAGGCTCATGTCATCAGCCATAACTAGGACTCAAAGGATATATTTCATAGCAGATTGTAATTTACGTGGAGGATTATGGAGTAAAGGGGGATAGTTTACAATGCCTTCCCATAACCTCCATCTGAAATGAGTTGATTTATATTTTCTAAAGCAGGGGAACTATTTAATATGATGTTGGGTATGAGGCAGGTGCTTGCATAATATACTACAACACACATCTAAAGCTATATGATGAAAAAGAAAACCACTCTATGACTGCAATGGGTGCCATGTGAACAGAAGTTTATTTATTTATTGTAATATTGATGCACCAGCTTTTTTTTTCTTTTCCTTTTTTAGTGTTCACAGGTGGTTTCCAAAAAAACCAAACATACACATGAAAATAAATCCATTTTTTACAGTATAAAGCAATTTAAAGCTAGCTCTCTCTCTCTCTATATATATATATATTTAAAAGTAAGAAACCTCCAACTAATTTTGGATAACAATGCTTTCACCAGCAATATTCAACTTTCACATGGCTTTTCAGCTCAGAGATACGTGAGAGGGACCTCTTTGCTTTGAGTTACACTTTTGAATAAGGACTGGCTGAGTGGTTCAGAGATCTGATTGGCTAGAGAATGGTAGATTGACAGAAATGTCTGCAGAGCCTCTCTTGAATTCAAATGGAAGGATTAAATGTGTGTGAAACAGTATGCGGTTTTGATTTCATTTTGTATTTTTTTTTGTAATCACTTGCCATTATCCTTGGTAGGGCTGTGCCCCATTAGTTCTAGTGGAACAACCTCCCACTGCCTGGTTCTGAGCAGAGACTACTGTTGGAACTTCCCAGGGGACAGAATTCCTGATGCCTGGAATCCTTATCTTCTCAAGGATAAACTCTAGAGCAGAACTTATTGGCAGTACTTGAAACACTATGCAAGTTGTATGGGAGAAAGAAGCTCCCTGAGATACTCAGGGCTTTACTGGTTAAACAAAAACAATAGCTGCAGTACTTTGAGTTGTCTGAAAGAGTCTGGAATTTGTTGCAAACAGTCGCAAATAGTTTCATTACCAAGAAATGGTGTGATGACTTTGTCCTTACTCTGAAAGAATGGTCAACAACAAATTGGAAGGTGGCTAAAATGTCAAGCTTAACGATATATATCTTTGGCTGAGGAATGGCAAGAAACTATTTTAATTTTAATTTTATGAAGACCGAATATAGTTTACGTATTAAGAGTTTTTGTGACACATGGCTGGTATTGATGTTTATACACCTATGCATTAAATTCAAGTTGCTAAAATGACCTAAATAAATATCTCACCTGAGCTTTATCTCTTTCATTCTGTAGTCCAATACAGCAAGAATATTGATACTCATGAAGGCATGCCAGCTAATTTGCACCTAATAGCATCTTCCCAAACATGGAGAATTCCAGATTAGCATTTATGAATATGTGGCATTTTTCCAACAATATTTTTATTCTAACATTATTATCCTCCAGTATTGAAATCTATCTTCAGCCCTTTGAAGAAAAATCTTTTGTTCTCCATTTTTGGTGCTGAAAAGCAATGAAATTGTTTTTCTCACTGTTTTGTTCTTTGTTGCCAATTCTTTAATGTTTTTGTAGTAGCATAGTAAAGCATATCACCTACCACTCTCACCTAGGGGGAAACTGCTTTCAGGTTATGCTATGGTGATCAGATACCTATTTGTTATTGCACAGCGAGTATAATTTACTTTTACTTTTAAGTCAGTTGATTATTGACCTGAATGGGTCTAAACTGCTTGCATCTTGTGTTAAACAATAGCTAATGTTAGTAGTGAGATTTTTGAAACTGCATTATTTTGAGCATTATTTCAAGCAAATCTCAGTGCTGTCTCTCTGCTTTCAACAAAGAGAATTTTCTATAATCCTTTCAAATTGTAAGCTTTTCCTTTGACAGAAACTTTAAAGCACATTTTGCTTTTTACTTTTACTTAAAATCAAAAAGGTGGCAGAGCAACTTTTAAACTGATGCCAGGGAAGGAGAAGAGGCATGTCTGCCTTGGAACAAATCATTGTCCATGGATAAAGCAGAAAATATTTGTGATCATTCAAGTGCAGGAGAGGTAGAACCAGAGGGCAGTGTCACATGACAGCAATTCAAAGAAATCAATATATTTTTCACAATATGTTTTTCATACATTTGGAAATGATCCACAGAATTACTTTAGGCATGGCCAAGGCTTCGGAACCTTTGAAGAGCATATCTCCAACGTATATCTAGGGCTAGGCCAAGACATTATTGCCGCCTGAGGCAAAACAGCAAATGGTCCCACCACTGCCATCACCCACACACTGACACAAATGTCATGGTGCCAAGTACCCAGTGCTGATTAGTTTATTTTCACCTTCAGAGAGAAGATAGGGTGATCATAAATTAGATAAGTTAACCATTTGCTGCCCTTCCATGACACCCAAAACCTGTCGCCTGAGGTAACAACCTCTCTCTGTCTAACAGCAGGGCCAGTGTTGGGGGATATCGTGCACTGCTTTTGAAATTCCTTACAATTCCAAAAGCCTTTTCCTAAATTACATTAGGAGAGCTGTTGTTCTGAGAAACCCAAAGCTCCTTTAGATGCATGGAACTAGTTGCATAGTTTTTTGGGGGAAGCCCATGTTTTTTGGGGGGAGTATGTGATTTTAGCATGATAACCCACTAAACCTCTCAAAACTAGATTCAACAATGCTCAGAAAGGTTGAGGACGATATGTGAAGCTAAGTATTTTAATCTGGAAACATAAAAAAACACAAACGAACTGTTTTCCTGAAACACTGGGCTACGTGAAAAAGAAATGTGCATATTAACAAAGGGAATTCTTTCTCAATCCCCTTTCTTCACAGCAAGAAGAGCATATCCCCTACACAGCTTGTGGAAAGTGCGTGAGGATGACCTTCTGCACGAGCGCTGTCTTATTCTGGGTAAATTTTCCACAACTGCCGCTTGTCATTTATTTAGCTTCGTCAGCATGATAGATTCTGTAAAGCTTAAATGGTTATGGCCCCTTCCTGAAGGACGGCTCTTCCTGTGGTGGACTCATTTCTCATGGCTGTACTGCTTCAGAATTGCACAGGCCTTTTCTTTTCTTAAAAACAGAAAAAAACACAACTTAGTACATTAATACATTTCTGCACATGGAAATCTCATATCGGAGAAAGTTCCGGCCTGACATTTTAAAGCTTTTCATGGGTTATTTTTGTCTTAAGAACACTTTGAAAAACAGCTCTCCTTTCAAAGGAGACAGTGCAAGGCACTGCGAGAATTGAGCCATGCGAGCAACTGTGCCTTTAAACTGGATCTCAGAATGGCAAGGATTCCTCACTTTGTTCTCCCTCACCTCCAAGAAAGCATCTTTCTTGCTTATGCCAGGCTTGATCCCTTACCTTGTCCCATTTTCCCTCTTTTTATGCTATCCTGCATTGAATTTCAGGTGTTTTTGCCTAGCTGGACTTCTCTCCTGATGGCTCCATTTCTGGATTTCTGTCTCCTTACTCCCATCTCGATCCCCCATCTCTTCTGAACCCCCTTCTTACCTCTTGTGCATCAGCTTGAGTTCTTGGATACTTTGGCTCATTTCCTTCACAGGTTATATTTCAAAGGTACGTTTTAAAACATCTACAAATGATACGTATGTGCACAGCAGAACATGATACCAGCAGCTTCTATAATAGGACTCATGTTCTAGGGAGCCGAGATAGATAACGGCTGGCCTGGCACTTGGGAGAAAACATAACGGTTTTTTGCCGTGAAGTGATGGTCAGTCCAAACCTCGTTACCTTTCCTGCCACTTTTTTCAGACGTGTTGTTCCAGGCATCTGGTTCAATAGTGTGTTACAGATTACAGTGGTACCTCAAGTTACATACGCTTCAGGTTACAGACTCCGCTAACCCAGAAATATTACCTTGGGTTAAGAACTTTGCTTCAGGGTGAGAACAGAAATCGCGTGGCTGCGGCGCAGCGGCAGCATGAGACCCCATTAGCTAACATGGTGCTTCAGGTTAAGAACAGTTTCAGGTTAAGAACGGACCTCCAGAACGAATTAAGTACATAACCAGAGCTACCACTGTAATGGGTATTTTCCTACCCGTTTCATCTGATTAAGAGAGCAAAGCTGGGTGTTCTTTGCTCCCCACCCCCCACCCCAATTCCAGCTTAATTCAAAGGAGAAACTAAAAGAAGTCTATACAGCCATGGGGGGAAATGTGTGGCATCGTGGAAGAGTTTCAAAAATAGTTCCAATGTGCACTAGCCAATGCCAGTGGTAGGATTGTCATTAGCACGGCTGTAGATACTGCCATGGAAGTGCTACTGTAATCTTCCTCTTAAGGAACATACCACAGGGCTACGAGAAGGAAGGACATTGCAATGAGCAGAGGCAACTGGCAAAAGGAGGGAGCTAAAATTATATTCAGGGCTGGAGGGGTGAAATTTATTACAGAGTGCTGCACTGCATGCTATTCTTGTGCTCCTGTCTATCTCCCTTTCTCCACTTTTCCTTTCACCCTCCATTTCCAGTTCCCAGTGCTCACCTATGTGTTTTCTCCCGCACAAATAGATATTGTGGATGCTGTTGTAGGAAATGTTTTCTGTACCAGAAATGAAGTAGAAAATTCATAGGTTGCCAGCTTTCAAGAAGTAAAATCCAGGACAACAAGTTGTTGAGCTTTTTTGAGGAAGACTCAAGCTTTTTTTCTGAGAAAAGCCATCAAAATACAAATTTTCAATTGACTTGCCTAAGATCCAGGACAATTTCCCCCCAGAAATTCCCCCCAGACATCAATTCTGGCTTGGAAATCCCGGTACTGTCCAGGAAAATCTGATCATATGGCAGCCCTAAGATTCAGCAAACCCATATTTACTGTTGGGGAAAATTTAATGTCTTAAAAAATGAGTTATGATTTGGGAGTTTAATTATGTTCAGGAAGTTTTATTATGAGAGGAACGAAATGCATTGTAGGTATATGCATCAGAATAATAGTATATTGATTGCTATATACAACAAATCAGTGGCATAAAGGAAAGTGCATGTTAACGATTGCATAAACACTTACTGATACATTTAATCACACTTTTGAATAATGTATAAATCTAATATATTTGTATTTATAGTTTCATTTACTTTTTCTGTAATTATATATGTTACTGTGTTTATATAATAAATTCATCAATTAAATATCTGTGTGTGTGTGCATGCTATATATGTGTATATATGTGACACATAAAATATATCATGCTTACTGCATAGCAGTTATTTTGTTATTTGATTTCAGATCCTGCTCATTATCGCCTCGGTTATTGGCATAATTGTTTACAGGCTGTCTGTTTTCCTGGTGTTTTCCGCGACGCTCCCAAGGCATATCAATGGCACCGAAGCCATCCAGAAGTACTTGACTCCACAAGCAGCAACTTCGGTTTCTGCTTCCATCATAAGCTTCATCATCATTATGATTCTGAACATGATTTATGAGAAAGTAGCAATCATGATTACTGACTTTGGTAAGATGCCCCAGCTACAAAGCCTTTCAGAGTAAATGGAGAAAAACATTGTGTTCTTAAGGGGTAACTCAGCGAAACAGGATGCCTCTGCCATGTATTTGAGAACTTTCCCCACCATTGCTTGCAATGACTTCTAAAGATTTTAAAGTTCAAGCTTTCTCAGTTAACAAAGAAATGACATTCAGCTCCTTGCCTAAGGAATCCTTCTATAGCCAGCATGAAAGATCAATTGTTTACAGCTGTATATTTATGAAACTGACAAAGCACAGAAGATTACTGTAATAATTCCAGCCTTATGAAAATGGATCAGCACTGCATAATGCATTCAATTACATTCGGTATTGTTTATAGATAGCGTAGTCATTTTCTTGTAAATAAAAAGTGAAAGAATCACTGTTTGAAACCCTTCATGCCTTAGTAAATAGCGAAAACAGAGCAAACACTGCTGGTTTCCTTCCCATCCAGGTCATTTACATTAAAGGAGCTGTCCTATTTTGGCGCATCTAAAGTAGCTTCATTTTAATATTCTTTCATTTGCATCACATCAAAATGTTATGTTCATTATGTATTGAATCTGCTGGAGGCTTTTTGCATTGAGAATTGCTGCTTGTTCTTGTGTGGAAGAGCACATATTTCCCCCCTTTTTATAACACGTTGTCATGAAATTAACATAATGGCTACAGTATATTAGAGAACTCCAAATAATCTAAATTATAAAGATGTAAATTGTATTCAAGTCTACGACATACATATCTCGAAAGCTCTTCTCGAGTTAACCATTTCTCTCTCCCTCACCCCTTAAACTACAGAACTGCCAAGGACGCAGACCGATTATGAAAACAGCCTCACCATGAAGATGTTCTTGTTCCAATTTGTCAACTATTATTCTTCCTGTTTCTACATTGCATTCTTTAAGGGTAAATTTGTAGGTTACCCTGGCGACCCTGTTTATTGGCTGGGGAAATACAGAAATGAAGAGGTATGAATGAACTACCTGCAGTGGGTTTTCCTCTCTTCATTTTTAATTTTTTTTCAGCTAGAAGTGTTAGGGTCAAGCCAGATGTTACACATAGATGGAAGTAACATTAGCCAAATATCATTTTTAAAGAATTTTTGTGCAGAAGGAAAAGCAGATGCTTAACCCTTTCCTGACTAACTGCTTTTCATGAACTTCTAAGTAGGAAAACAGACAGAAGATGAACACTGCTGCTTCTGCTGCACTTTTCCCAGTTCCCCCTTCAAAAGCTTAATTTGACTTTTGAAAAGCCCATTGTGGTAATATTATACATGTATGCGTGTAACATCTAGTTTGGCCCTGAATCTTGGCCACTTCATCAGTTTCAAGAGATACATGGGAAGCAGGGATGGTATTAAGGATTGGTGGGATTGCGATCTCGCAATGGTAAACTGAAGAACTCAGCTTCACAGCTACCACCATTTTGAGCTGAGTCCGAAGTCCTCCAAGCTCATATTCCACCAAACCTCAGGTGCCGTAGCTTCTTGCAGCCACCACTGATCCCCCTCCCCCCAAAAAATAACTTAGCTACAATGGTTTAGGGAAGTTTTTAATGTTTGAAGTTTTATTCTGTTTTTAATGTTCTGTTGAAAGCCACCCAGAGTGGCTGGAGAAACCCAGCCAGATGGGTGGGGTAGAAATAATAACATGATGGTGATGATAATATGATGATGGAGAGGCCTCACAAAATGGTCAACGTTGCTTGAAATAGCAGGTGATTTGCTTACTTCCCTTAATGGCTGTGAACACTGCAAATGGCAATACCACTATAGACAACATGGCGCTGTTACTATTCCATACCTGTAAAAAGAATCTTTGGGGCTGCTTCAGCTCCTCCACTCTCCCCACCACTACCCCACATAACTAAAGTGTGAGAAATGTAAGTGCCCTGATTCAGGTCAGGGCACTGACAGAAGCAGATAGGGCCAGCCCAAGACATCTTGCTGCCCAGGACAAAGGCAATATGGTGCCTTTCACTCTGTGATTCTTCTTTCAACACTGACAATAGGACGCAAACCTGCACCATATCCGAGGACAGCAAGCTAACTTTTAGACCCAAGGCAGGCAACTGCAAGGCACTCAGAACCCTCCAACTTCTTGCTTCACTGCCTAAAAGCAGGGCGAGTTCTGGAAGTAGGCTTCTGAGCGAGTGTCCTTGACCGCAAGATTAACTATATGCTATCCCCACGCTGGTAATCAATTATTTTGGAGGGCACAGATTATGGTTAAAGGTAAATGTAGTTCTGCTGCAGACATTACACAAGTTTAGCCTCTAAACTCTGTGAGCTGAAGACTACAGGAGCCATATGTAAGCTATTCTTTGCTTTTTGAAGAAAAAGTCTGGTATAAATGAAGCAAATTTATTAAAAATGAAGGTGTTACATTTTTTTAGTAATAATCACCAATGTTAGATGGTTTGTGCATTTTTCTGGAGAGTTATCTGAATAGAATGATGCCAAACAAAACATTATGCTAGTCTTTTTGAAGTAACAGAATATATTTTAATATGTTTTCATTAATTGAAAGTTCGTTCCCTGCAGCTAATGAGCTGGAAAAATTCATGTCCACCCTCCCCTTCTTCTTCCAATCCTAGTGTGATCCAGGTGGATGTCTCCTTGAACTTACAACACAACTGACAATAATAATGGGAGGCAAAGCAATCTGGAATAATATACAAGAAGTGCTTCTTCCGTAAGTAAATAGTGTTGATAGCTAGGAGTCAAAACCAAACCTGAATTTGAATACAGGGTGGTTGTTTTTAGTGAACCTGAATTTAAACCTCTTGGTTGCTTTGAGCTCACAGCAGAAGGCAGCCCCTAAAACACAAAAAGCTGCAACTGATTTTTTTTTTAACTGTTTTAATGATGAGAAATTCATGAGGACTCCATAGGAGGTGAGAAACAGCCTCATCCAATCCTACAGATTTGGGAATTATTAATGAACAGTGTGATAGTTGTGCCTTATTTTACTTTCTGAAACGTAGGACTGGTTCAAACTATGACATGTTGGAAATTTTAAGAAACAAGTGGCAGAGGATTAAAGCAAGGTCCAGAAACATTAGTCTCCATCAATGGAAAACACAGCAACATATGCTTTTGACCACGAAGAGGTCATGAATGGAATCCCTATTCTCTATTGTTTTGTCTCCATTATTTTTTTAAGGTAGAAAAATGAGGATCCAAACAGGCCAAATCCATCAGAGCCTATACAGATGAACTAATGGATGGATCTCCCAGTGTAACATGTAGCTTGACCTTGGCTGTATCTGCCAGAAAAGGCAAAACTGAGCCCATTATTATCAAAGCAAAGAGGCAGACTTAGCTATTCCATATTGGACAAAAAATTGCATGATTTCTACCATAAAGAATAAATCTAGCTGGTGATCTCCATTCATAGGTGGCTTAAGAACCTGATTGGAAGATTTTGTTCAGCTTCACGGTCTGAGAAAGTTGTCCCTCGCTGGGAACAGGACTACCACCTTCAGCCCATTGGCAAACTTGGATTGTTTTATGAGTATCTTGAAATGGGTAAGCTGGCTGCTATAATTCTTTTTCATAATTAACATTCTATTAAATAAAAGTGGGATGGGTGGTTTTTTCTAGATTGGATGGCTGGGCTATTCCTTTCTTTAAAAAAAAATCTGAACACAGAGTATTTAACTGTGGTTGTACACAAGACATTAGGGTTGCACTTACCTGAGAGTAAACACCTCTGGATACAGTGGGGCTTTACTACGGAGTGAACAACCACATGATTGTTCTCTAACTGTACTATTTAATGTTGCTCTCTTGCAAATATATATATATAAAGATTTCCACACACCCCATGTCCTGATTGGCATTATAAATTCCTTTTTACAATGGCGTTGGTTTCTTGCTGGCTACAGAGTGCAGATAATGAATGGAATCAACTAAGTATTACTCAAAGTAATTTACTCAGAATGAATGAAGATGACTAAGACGAGTCCATTAGTTTCAATGGATCTAGTGTGTGTAAATCTTAGGTGAATATCACCCATAGACTTTGGGTAACTTTCCCATATTTTTCTAATCCAAGAACCCAGCTCTTTCCAGTGATCTAGAATAGCTCTGTTTAGCCACTGAGTTTGGCATGCCTGACTTTTGAAAGCGCACACAATGCTAATTAATATTTCACCAGTGCTTGTCACATTTCTCATTGGCAGTTATACAGTTTGGATTTGTCACTTTGTTTGTGGCCTCGTTCCCACTGGCTCCCCTTCTGGCACTTATGAACAATTTACTGGAAATACGTATAGACGCCTGGAAGATTACCACACAGTTCAGGCGCATAGTTCCTCAGAAAGCTCAGGACATAGGAGCATGGCAGCCCATCATGCAAGGAATAGCTCTTCTTGCTGTGGTGACCAATGTAAGTACAGTCTTTAAGTAGTGACAATTTGGGATCTGAAATGCCGAACAGTTATTTCCCATGGGGAAGTGTTCTTCAATCAGTTGTAATGTCCGTTCTCCACATTCGCACCTTTGAACAGTATGAAATTGTTGACATGTTAGATGTTCTCCATTTCCTTGAGGAATGAGAAGTCCAGCGACAGTGGTACCAATGGTTGGTTGGTTGGTTTTTTATGAGATACCAATTAAGACTCATGATGTCTTTGTGATATCTGTTTGTATACAAGCTGACCATCTTGGGTTGTACTTTAATGTGCATTCTATTTTGTTCTTATTTTGTATTGCGCTTTAAATTGTTATGACCCATTGCAAGACAATGCGTGATGACAGCTGGTATATAAATATTATAAATTAAATAAGCATATTCCCTTTGCTTTCTCTTTCTCCCTTTGAGGACAGGGTCAACAAACCCTACTGCAATGAATTTTGCTAAGGCTCTGCGGTAGGAGTTTCCACTCAGTTAAACTGGCTGGTGCCAGGTTTAGTGTCCAAAATTAACTGCTAGCTGTCACCATGCTAGAGGCATTCCCCTTTCTCTTTTACACAGAAGGAGGGAATGCATCTTCTGAGATGCCTCTGGCAACACTAACTAGTAAGTCACTTAAAAAGAAATCTTGTGTGGTGGTTTTTCTCCTGAGTCGACGTTTTCTTCATCTAAAAAGTTCAATTGTTTTCAAATGGATTCAGGTGGTTTAATCATAGAACAGCCAAATAATTATTGCCACCTAAGTTTTACTCAGAACTGCCTAATTGAAATTAATGGATCAAAGTTTGCCATTGCTATTAATTTCAAGTGGGTCTACTCTCGAGTAGAACTAGCACGGAATGCAACCCTTAGTAATAATATCCACTGGAAATGCACAGTGGCCCAGGAAGCCTGACTGTCATAACCGCAGCAGAGGCTTTCTAAAATAAAAAAATTAAAATCCCCAAAATAGTTGATGCCATGCTTCTTTTACAGCAAGTTCCATTTCTTTCCACTTTATGGATTACTCTGCAAAACTGGCAGAACTTTAAGTGGATATTGTACAAAGCTACCTTGGCACTTATGAGTTCATGCAGCAGAGCTGACATTGCTATATTCAGTTGCGAAGCATAAGCCCAGTTTTCATTTGTTCTGGGGTAATAGGAAAAGTGATCACGTCTTGGAACATTGAAATCAGAAATTTTTTTAGTGTGATCCTCTTAAAAAAAAAACAACCAGCCTACAAATGGTGGGGGGGGGATTTATTTTTACAGAGTATCTAGAAGAATATATTCTCCTGTGTATGTCATCACTGCTATTGTACATCTGGAAATCATTTGAAAGAGGTGAAAGTTTATGTGGGAAGAATACTGGAGCGGGGGAGGAGAGAGAAAGACAGCGTAAAGAGCAAATAAGTTACACTGAATTCCAAATAACATTTCGCAATAACTCCATGTTCTTATACATAGGAAAAGTGGGAAGCGGGGGCAGTATTAGAAAGGTATAATATTGTGATCACTCAGAGGGTGTTCCCTACTAGCATGCATAAACCTGATTCTTATAATCATTTCTGCAAAGCCACCAGGGTATTATATCCGCAGTTTATTGCATGCATTGTGTGGTCGTCTGTCAGGGAAAAGCTGCTTATGTTTTATCCCACCCTCTCACCAGGGACACAGACCATTGCACATAGGCTGTTGTGGGTACGATCATAATGGAAACAGGAAGGGAGTTGAGATTTTTTGCCAGCCAGAAACTGGAGAGATCTGGATGTGTTGCACTTCTGTTTTGTACAATAATATATTTCCCATTTCCAGACAGATACAGATACACACACACTCTCTCTCTTTGTATAAAATTCTACCTAGATGCAGTTAAATCTTGCCCATTTCCCTCTCTTTTCAAATGCAGGCAATGATAATTGCTTTTACGTCCGATATGATTCCACGCCTGGTGTATTACTGGTCATTTTCCGTTCCTCCCTATGGAAGTCAGAGCACTTACTCCATGAAGGGGTACATAAACAACACACTTTCCGTCTTTGCTGTGTCAGACTTCAGAAACGAAAGCAAGCCAGCCGCTCTTCCCATATTTGCCAACCAGACAACATGCAGGCAAGTCTATTTTCCCATTTAAAATAGCATATATATAAAGCCACAAACCCAGAAGTCAGTGTTCCGGTTTGCAAATGTTCTTTGGAACCTGAACGTCTGATGTGGCTTCGCGGCTTCCAATTGGCAATCAGAAGCAGTGCCTTGGTTTCCGAACATTTTGGAAGTTGAGCGGACTTCTGGAACGACGATTCTGTTCAACTTCCAAGGTCTGACTGTATATACTCTCTTTCTCTCTCTCTCATACAGACGTGTCTTCACTTATACTTTACCTCTCAGCATTGTAAAGTAGTAGTAAACAATGGTAAAAAAGGGAAGATTAAAAAAAAAAAAGATTGTTTAGTGACGACAAAATAATGCATTTCTGTAGATGTGATTTATCTGCATTTTGTTCTCATTGTGGGACAGCTGCATATTCCTGCACTGCAGGGGGTTGGACTAGATGATCCTCAGGGTCCCTTCTGACTCTACAATTCTACAGTTACATTCTGCTTAACTTGTGTGTCACCTTATCAGGAGAATGGGATGGATTTTGCTCCCCCTTCTGGCCTGAGTGCCATATTGCAGAGTCTGCTGAAATGATTGCTTCATTGTCTTTGACTGTTAGGTACCGGGATTTCCGATACCCCCCTGGGCACGAACATCAATATGAACACAATATCTATTACTGGCATGTTATTGCAGCCAAGCTCTCATTCATCATTGTCATGGAGGTCAGTATATTTCCTTCTAAAAGGAGTTTCTTCATCATTTTGTATTAAAAACCATGTCAGCATCTGTCTTCCATTCCTTCACCCTAAAGTTGCAGCAGTGCCCTTTGTATACCTTGAGGAAGCCCATCCCAGCCATGCAATGGGGTGAAAATTTCTCAGGCATGTTTTTCAGAATTTTCCTGGTGCGATCCTCATGAAAACCAATAAATTTGGGTGGGGGAGTTGAGGGGGGTGGGGAATCAGCAAACAGATTTTTCTGATCTCAATGGAAACAAAACTTGCCATGCAGTTTTGGTGCAGCCTGCCTCAATGGCATACATTTTGGAAGAAAAACATATGAAAATTGTGCAAAATGAAATCCTCATGAATGTCCTCCATCTAAAGCAAGTTTAAACAAAAGCTACCAGTTCTTCCCTTTCTCCTCTTCGGTGGAGGGTGGAGAAATACTGAGCAGATCTTGAATACTATTTTGGGGAGGGGGGTGTTTTTGTTTTTAACTGCCTTTCTGGAGACTGAGATGGGGGGGAAACAAAAAGGCAAAAAGTTTGTGAATGCATTTTAAAAAATTATGTTATTAGTAGCTGTTTTTTAACTCTGCCTGTAAGGATATTAAACTCCACTAAGATCTCTGCCTGCTACCCTAGTTGGGAGTGAAAAGTAAAGCCTGCAAAAAAAGAAAAAGAAAAAAAGGGCCATTGCACAAAAACCCTGATTTTCGCCTTCACTTGGTTAACTACAGTGGTACCTCGGGTTAAGAACTTAATTCGTTCCGGAGGTCCGTACTTAACCTGAAACTGTTCTTAACCTGAAGCACCACTTTAGCTAATGGGGCTGCTGTGCCGTCGCCAAACCACCAGAGCACGATTTCTGTTCTCATCCTGAAGCAAAGTTCTTAACCCGAGGTACTATTTCTGGGTTAGCGGAGTCTGTAACCTGAAGCGTATGTAACCTGAAGTGTATGTAACCCGAGATACCACTGTATTTATTTTTTTAAAGACGTTTGTGTATTGCTTAATTATTCACACTTCTAAGCAGTGTCCTTTTACATCAAAACAACCCACAGGAAATGGGACAACGAAGCAATAAATGTTTATCACAAAACTGGACTACCTCAAAGTTCCGGCTGGAACAAGAAAGTCTGATTCAGGCACCTGAAGTTTCGCAATAATAATTTTATAATAGTAATAATTTTATTATTTATACCCTGCTCTTCTGTCTGCAAGGAAGGGGCCTGTCTAATCTCGGTTGGGATGGAATCCCACAGCCTTGGGCCCACAACACTGAATGCGCAGGATGGCAGCGATGGTGCAAAACATAAAATACATTCAAACTTTCAGCTGGGGGAAACACTGGTTCTTTACAAAGGGGGTAACTGGGCAGCTAGGAAGCTGCTGTCCCCCCAGAGTCTGTCCCCAGGGAGGACTCCAATGAGGGTCCTTCTCTGTCCATATTGCGCAAACAGTGCCTAGCTCTGTGGTCTCTGTGGTAGGTAGCACATTGGGATGGCACAGATAAACAGCTGCATGGCTGGCGCTTTCCTAGCAGGGAGCGGAGAGAGAAATAAATTGCCACCTGGGCATGCTCTCAGAAACTCTCTTAGCAACCAGCAGGAAACCTTAAAGAAACATTTCCCCTTGCCGTGCATTAGAGGTTGTTTCTTTGCATCTCCAGATTAGATCGATCCCTTGAAATGAACGTGAATGTGCAGATCCTCATGTGTCTGTTATCTGAGTGCACATAGGTCATATCTGCACTATGAATTTAAAGTGCTATTGTATCATTTTAAACAGTAATGGCTTCCTCCCCCCAAAACAATCCTGGGAACTGCAGTTTATTAAGGGTGCTGTGAAATGTTGGGAGACCTCTATTGCCCTGCCACAGTTGCCAGAGTGGTATAACAATCAGTCTCCTTTCCCGGGGAATTCTGGGAATTGCGGTTCTGTGAAGGGAATAAGAGTCACCTAACTTGACAATTCTCAGCACCCTTAAGAAACTGCAATACCCAGAATTCTTTGGGGGAAGCCGTGACAGTTAAAGTGGTGTAAGGTAAAGGTAAAGGGACCCCTGACCATTATGTCCAGTCAAGACCAACTCTGGGGTTGCAGCGCTCATCTTGCTTTATTGGCCGAGGGAGCCGGCGTACAGCTTCTGGGTCATGTGGCCAGCATGACTAAGCTGCTTCTGGCAAACCAGAGCAGCGCACGGAAACGCCGTTTATCTTCCCGCCGGAGTGGTACCTATTTATCTACTTGCACTTTGACGTGCTTTCGAACTGCTAGGTTGGCAGGAGCAGGGACTGAGCAATGGGAGCTCACCCCGTCGTGGGGTTTCGAACCGTCGACCTTCTGATCCGCGAGTCTTAGGCTCTGTGGTTTAACCCACAGCGCCACCCGCGTCCCCCGTGGTGTAGCAGCACTTTAATTGTGGTGTAGCCGTGGTGTAGCTGTGCTTTAAATGTGTTTTGCCTATGTGGCCTACAGACTTCCAGATTGCGGCAAGAGTCAATAACAGGGCAATATTACTGTCTTTTATAATGGTTGTATATTCTGAGTAGCTGACTCTGTTTGTGTTCCCTTCCCCTCCCCCATCCAGCATATCATCTACTTGGTGACATTTGCTATTTCACACATAATTCCCGATGTGTCAAAGAAAACCAAAAGCAAAATTAAACGGGAGAAGTATCTAATACAGACACTCCTGCATGAGAATCCTGTGAAAGCTATGAAGAAAAATATGGGGAGCATCGCCGACAAAATATTAAAAGGCGCAGACGGCACTTTCCGGCCTAAAACTGAATAGAGACATGACAGCCTGACAGTGCCTAACCAGTGGTGTGTGAATCTTTCTACCAAAACAAACAAACAAAGGGATTGGACCAAAGACTTGGACCAAAGAACGTAATTGCAAAGGAAGAAGTGAATGCTCGTAAACAGAATGGACAAGCATTTCACCGTGGTTTTTGTTGGCTGTTATAAAGGGGCTGTCCTAATCTAGACTTTTGTGGTGTGCCTTCCAGCTGTATGCCATTTGAAACCAAACCTCAGAAACCAAACCACTTGTCTTAAGAGTGACACGGCTTATTCGGACCAGTTTTTAATACTTTGATTGCGTTCTCCAGCTTTATCAAACTGGGTAGAAATGGACACTGTGGCAAGGAGGGGAAACAGGGCTGCGTACGCTGGCCTCAGCCTCGAGACCCCTCCGCTCAAATGTACAGTCTGCACAAAATGAATTTAAGCAAAATGACAATCCAAAGGTAAGGGGGGAAACCACTCTTGTGTTCCATAAAGCCTTAAGAGATATGTATACTGAAGGGAACGCAGTAATGTTCAGCCAGGAATGGCCAGTGCAGTGGGGCAGCGACATGCCCCAGCTCCCCTGACAGCAGTGTTGCTACTGCTCTATGGGGCAGTGCAGGGCTGGGGCTGGGTGGCAGTGACGTGAAGGCAGCAGTAGAGCAAATCCAGTGTCTCCTTCCTGCATAGGCCCAACCTGACTGCCATGCTGCCCCATCCCATTAAGGAGCAGCAGAACCACTGCTGTACAATCAGCCACCTGGCCTTGCTGCCCTGCACTGGCTGCTCCTGCGTTCAGCATAATATGAAGGGATTTGCATCCCAGTCAGAGCCGTACTGCCACTGGCACCTCCGCTGATCAGAAGAGCCACAGAAGAGTGGACACTTCAGACCTGCCTCCGTTTTTGCTCTGTGCTCTCTAATTTTCCACCTCTCATTTCAACCTGAATGTCCCTAGAAGTCTCTGGCAAGTAGTTCACAGTGCTAGCAGACATTACTGTTTTGCTTCATGGATCTATAGCCATTCTTCTGTTTCATTGGAATCCCAAGCTCATGTTGATTTCTGGAGAATGTTTGAGTGTTCATCTGCCATCTTAAACTATTGAGCTTCAAAATGCAGAGTGGAAGATCTTGCACTGGTTTGTAGTTCAGACTATGGACATGTCAGGCCTGATCAATATAAAGGCACCACCAAGAAATATTAAATGGGATGGAGAAAGCCTTTTCAGTCATTCAGAATGTTGAACAAATATTCAAGCCCAGCTTCCAGACCAGGGGTCATCAAACTTTTTCAGCAGGGGGCTGGCCCCTGTCCCTCAGACCTTGTGGGTGCCAGACTATATTTTGGGGGGGAAATAATGAACAAATTCCTATGCCCCACAAATAACCCAGAGATGCATTTTAAATAAAAGGGCACATTCTACTCATGTAAAAACGCACTGATTCCTGGACCGTCCGCAGGCCGAATTTAGAAGGCAGTTGGGCCGGATCTGGCCCCCGGGCCTTAGTTTGCCTACCCATGTTCCAGACCATGAGAGCATTGTGCCTGTTGATCCAATACACAAACACTAACCCCTCACTTTGCTTAAGTGAACATAAAGATGGATATGCAACCACATAGAAGAAGAGATATCTCCATGTGGCTGTGTATATAATAACTTGATTCAGGTAGGTGTGGGGTGAGTGTGTGTATCTACATAAGCATGTGTGAATTCTGAGTTGGCCTAATACATTTTGCTGCTTGAGGTGAAGGACGAAATGGTACACCCACGTATTCTGTGTGCTGAAGGTGACCAGACTGGCAGTAAAAGTACATGACACACACAACTCTATCCTCCAACATTTCACCACTGAGCCTCACCCTCATAATCTGCCACCTGAGGCAGCTGCCTCCTTGGGCCTAATGGTAGAGCTAGCCCTGATGCTAAAGAGGTCAATGAAGACAATAGTCTGATGTGTAACTTGTGTCACCAGCAAAGGAATATTTAGAATGGGGTGCAGCTTATAGCGCTTTATCACCAGGGGTGCTAACTTGAATAAAATTCTTGGGGGTGTGTGGAGATAATCCCTGCCCCACAAAATTGATCACAAGATGTGGTGCACGCACTCCATTTGAATGGCAATGCCCATCAACTGGGGAGGAGCTCAAATATTTTATGGGGGGGACGGGACAAAGGGACCTCAGCCCCTAGGAGTTGGCTCCTATGTTTATCACTGTTTCAGGAACAACTGGCTGGTATTGTAGGGAGTACATTGGCTGACAGAGCATTGAAAGTCTTTGTACCAATTGATTTTGCAAAGATTTTGATTGATCTAATAAAGATTACAATAGAGGTACAATCAGTTTAGAATATTTGACAGTAATGACTACTTTATTAAGTGGTTTTTCCAAGAATAGAAGGATGTGTTGATGATGGTGAAGTGTGCTGTGAAACTCTGACCACTGACAACCTGTTCTGACATTCGAATTAAGAGACTTACTCAAAAGATCTATTGTTTCACTGTGTTAATTGTGTATCAGCTATGAGGCAATGGGGCTAACTTTACATTTAATATGTATTAGGGGAGCCATAAGTGTTACTTATATATGATTATATATTATGAATACAGAGTTGCAGTTTTGAGTAATTGATTTTGTTTTAATCATGGTAACAGAAAAGAATATTGATGTAATGCTTGTATGTCGATAATCTTCTGTATTGCTGCTTCATTTTATCTCCCATCAATGCAACTTGACATATTTGTTATGTTGTATAATATGCGCACACACCATAATGAATATGTTCTACAGATACCTCCAATGAGGCCTGATGCAATCTTATGCTCAAAAGTACATTGCACTGTGTTCAGTGGGTCTTTTTCCTCAGAGAGCAACTGGGGCTGCAATCACATGCACATTTACTGGGAATAAGATTCACTGAATACAACACAGCTTATTTCTAGTATGCATGGGTAGAACTGTGATGAGAATATATAGCTTTTTTCAGATAGGGTATCAACAAAGAAAAAATAGATATCCATCCCAGGTTCAAATCCTGAACTGAAATGACAGTTTCTAGTATCCCATTTCATGCCTTATCTGTCTCTTATTTTTTCCTATTTGCAGACTACTTTACCTACCCAAAATTCTGGATCAAACCAAGTGTTATGCAGAGACTAACCATGAGGCATGATAATTAAAATTTCTACACTATAATGCATATATTTTGGCTGATGTCCAGTGCTAATTATACTCATGTTACTCTTGTCCATTAATTTCAATGGGTCTACTCTGGGTATGTCTTGGATCCCACCCTTTATTTGTACACCCTCTTTACATAGATTTTAAAATTTCTGTTTCATCTATTCTGAAAACTGAAGTCATCATTTGAGTTCATAGATTTCAGGCTAAAATTTTACATTCAGCTCAAATAACTAGAGGTTCGTGTCTCAAGATTTGGTTGCTGCTCAAATTGGTGTTTGTTTGAATTGATATGAAAGACTTCCTGTGCTGTTGGCTCTGTGATAGGTATTTACTGCATGCAAGGCATCACATGATAATATTATCGTCATCAGGTGATGAGCACACATATGGAGATTCACCCTTTCTTCAGGCATATTGCCTGACATGGAAATCACTCTTCCCTGAGCAGCATTTTTACCATCCTGTAATAGTTTATCCATAAGTTTCCCATAATACATACGAGTTCTTCTCCCCTTCCTAGGATTAACTCAATTATGGTAGTCTTTATCTACAATATTATATCTAGTGCATGAACCGTGGGTCAGGATTCCCAAAAGATGCATGAACAAAAGGGGTGTGAGCTTTGACCAGAAATCTACAGTCCTGCTTTTTGAATCTAGATTTATTGATCTGAACCATCCTGCTCTTTATCTTGAACTTTTTCTGCAGTCCCCTGCATACTTACCTGGGAGTGAATCCCATTTAACTCAATGGATCCTTACTTAAACCCATATAAGATTGCTCTGTCGGACAATTAAAAAAAAAAAAAAACTTAGGTAGGCCCGATAATGATGTTAATGGGAAAAAAATGTTTTTCTAATTACATCACTGCTGCACAATAATTTTTAAATTGGAGGTTATAAAGACGAGCGACCAGTAAGTGGTATTATACACTTTACAGAGCTTCTATGCACCAGATTAAAAAGCCAACAAGACTTTTGGTACATGACCTAAAGAAATTAGAAAGAGTTTACGCAGGAATAAAGTTTGGAAGATTGTTTTGCGGATTATTACTTTCATTAGTTATATATTGGCTTTGGCTATAACCGTAATACAAGCTGTTTTGTCAACAACAGACAGTAACTGTGATAGCGATAAGTCCCAGGCGTCTCACAGCAAGAAGTGCTGGACCAGCATTTGGGGGGATCAAGCTGTGAATGAATATTTCAGAGGATTCCCCTGGCTTAATAGTATTTACTAAGAACATGTTCTCCGTACTTTTTCTGGTAATATTGACTATTATGTTCTGAACTGATTTTTTTCCTCTTCTTTTTATTTATTATCATTGTAATAAAGTTGATTTTATAATGTAACATTCTTAATACTGGCCTTTTTTAAAAAAAAAACACCCGACTGCAACACTGAATAATCTACCGATAAGTGTTATTGAGAGGGTGTTTATTTATGACTTTTGCCAGACTGTAAGTTTTCAATTATGCGAAACATTGAACACATAGTTCTACATACAAATGAATGCAATTTTCTTGAAATAAACATAAAGTCTATAAATGATCTAAAGCCAGTGGAAGTCATGGTGGTGGGAAAAGGCCATGGAGGTGTCTTCCTGGCACTGTAAGCCGCAGGACTTACGTGAGAAGTGCTAGAAGGGAGCAAGGTGGCATAGCTGTCAACCGTCCCTTTTTTGGCGGGAAACTCCCTTATCCCAGCGCCGTGTCCCGCTGCTGTCCCTTATTGATGATGTCCCTTAAATTTCCCGGGTTTCAAAAGAAGCAGCTCCTCTCCCGCCCTCTCTGCCGGCCAGGGAGGAGGGAGGCTCCAACTGTGTTGCTTGGCTGCCAGCTCCTCCCCCCTCCGGCCTCCTCTCACCAGCCTCAGCCCCCAGGAGCCCCTCCCCGCCGGGACTGGCGAGAGCCTTGGGCCCTTCCGCCGCCATCCTCCTCGTGGCCGCTGAACTGAGCGTCTCTGCCTGGGGCCTCCCGTCTGCCAGTCCCGCCGCCATTCCTGCTAGGCCATACTGTGGCTGTGCCGCCGAAGGACCCAGATGAGATGGGCAGCCTGGCGTGGCCTATGAATTGCTGAGGAGCCTTGAGAAGAGAAACCATAGAGAAAGCAGTTCAGAGAGAGGAGGAGGAGGTGGAGGCGGAGGTGCAGGCAGGTGTTCCAAGGGCTACAAGGGAAGGACCGCAAGCGCTTCTCCCATAGATTTGTAGTGGTAGACTAGCATAGATGGTCTGATCTGCGGGTTTACTTCGGGAGCTATTCCCCTCCTTCCTCCCGCCCCGCCTGATGGAACTGAGAGCTGCAGATGGAGCACGAGAGAAAAGATTCAGAACTGCAGCAGCATCTTCGTAGCTTGGACTTTGTTTTGCGTGAAAAGTTGTTGCTGCTTGTTGTTATTTAATTGCAGTGTTTCATTGGCTGGTGTCTTGAGCAGCAACCTCTGGAAACGAAGGGCTAAAAACTGGCGCTGCTCTCCAAAATTATCTGGTCCCTTTTAACTTCGTATTTCAGCTGGTTGACTAAAATCCCTTCTTTTGGCTGCTGGTCCCTTATTTTCAAATCTGTAAGTTGACAGCTATGGCAAGGTGGTGGTGAGGGTGAGCCTATTTCAACACACTGGAAGAGGCAACGCAGCACCCCGGCCAATGTCCACAAAGCCCTGACCACTCCTCTGCCCTGCCCAGGTGTCATAGGCCGGCTAGATACAGAGGAAGTTGTGCCTAAGCCATAATTCACTGCTATTAGTAAATTGTCATTTAATTGTAGCAATGAATCTACCACATTAAATTCATCCAAGCAGCAACTGTTCTTCCAGGGTTGAGGTGATCGGGTGGTGCATTCCCTTTTTTATTGTTTAAATTGAACAAAATGTAAAAGAGACCCTGTTGAGATGTATTGAGAGACTGAGGAGGGAGGGGTTGGAACAGCACTGCCGCCCCCCGGGCACAGGGACTTAATAGCACAGGAAGTGGCTTTAAGCTATTTTTAAACAAGCTGAGCCCATTAAGAACCAACTTCTCCCTCTTCTCCCTTGACGCATAGAGTGGCTGAGTGAATAAGCAGGCGTGCTCATTTCCACAAATGTACAACTGGTGGTTGCTCTGCCCCCACTTTACGCAATCCAGTTTTTATACCCGAGTGGTCACCGGCTCCTGTTACTGTGACCCGCTACAAACATCTGGTGCAAGGATTCTGAATTAATAAGGGGTTGTTACACTAGAAATAATCCATGTAAATGAATGCAACTTAACTTGCAGTTCAGCAGCAGAGCTTCTTTTGACAAACTTCACTCCAGGAATTCTTTAATCAACCAGTTATTTTCTAAAATATTCTGCCTGCTTAACACCGCCCTAGCTTGAATGACTCATATTTCATCAGCTGCAAACATGCAATATCCTCCCCACCCCCTCTTTCTCTTCCACATTTTACACTTCCTGCCTGCCTGAGAACTTGGGGGACAACTAGGATTTAGAGGCTGGCACTTAATCACCCGCATCTGTACTAATCTCACATGGGAATTGACAAATCACACAAGAATCGTCGTCTTCTTTTTTATTCTTGTACTGGGAAAGCTGGAAAACAGGCAAGGGAGTTTTTAGCTCAGTGGTGCCTGAAGCCATATTGTGCCAAACACCTGTTGGAAGAATTATGGATTAGTAGCAACTAGTTATTACAGTAGAAAAACGCAGCGTAAAGGAAGATAAATGTTCCTGTAACAGCAGAGCTTTTTTGGGAAAAATTCGGCCATATTAAATGTTAAAAATAAGTCTCTTCTTTTTTTTTAGTATTCCTCTCTTCAAATGTAACTTTAAAATGTGGGCACTGGCAGAGGAAGGGGTTGCAGGGGATGCGGTCCGCCCTGGGTCACCCTGGGGGATGACATCACTGCACGCACTCCCTACACTCGCTGTGCCCCCCCCAGATGCTCGCTGCATGGGCAGATGGCGGCACCCTGCCCTGACGCTCGCCGTGCGGGCAGTAAGATGCTAGCAGCACCACCACCCCTCCGGACGCTCATCCCGACACTCACCCCCGGGCCAGCTAGCCCTGCCCTCGCACCGCTCTGGGTGCTGGAGCTCTGCCTCTGAATGGGGGTGTGGTCTTGACCAATGACTTGTTCATGAGCTAAATACAGTAAGGTGGAATCTAAGGTAAAGGTAAAGGGACCCCTGACCATTAGGCAGTGGCGTAGCGTGGGTTGTCAGCACCCGGGGCAAGGCAAGTAATTTGCGCCCCCTAACCCGTGGATTTTAGCACTCGGGCAGAGAGCTGCGAGTGTGAGCGCACCCCCCCCAGATGTTGCGCCCGGTGCGGCTGGCCCCCCCTGCACCCCCACGCTACGCCACTGCCATTAAGTCCAGTCATGACCAACTCGGGGGTTGCGGCGCTCATCTTGCTTTATTGGCCAAGGGAGCCGGCGTACAGCTTCCGGGTCATGTGGCCAGCATGACTAAGCCACTTCTGGTGAACCAGAGCAGCGCACGGAAACACCGTTTACCTTCCCACCTATTTATCTACTTGCACTTTGACGTGATTTCAAACTTCTAGGTTGGCAGGAGCAGGGACCGAGCAACGGGAGCTCACCCCGTCATGGGGATTCGAACCACCGACCTTCTGATCGGCAAGTCCTAGGCTCTGTGGTTTAACCCACAGTGCCACTCTGAAAAGGCTTTTTTAAAAAAAGTTCTTTTTTTTAAACACACTGAATTTTCCATAAGGCTCACCATCACTATCTAGTGTCACATTGTATACTGCACTTAAAACACACTTAACACATTTTATTTGCAGTCATGGGATTCATTTTAGCTGAGGCTAGTGAAAGTATTTCTCAGTCTGCCGGAACATTTTGTAAATATATTTAAGGACTCCTATCATAGTAATTGTTTTATGTGAATGAGTCTTCTAGACCATCCACATTATGAACAGACACTGAGCAAGGTGGAGAAAGAAACACTTAATGAGGAAAATAAAGAATCTGTGCTATGCTCTCCTGCCATGACCTAAACACGTGGCTCCACTTGACTAGAACGTGTTTGATAAATTTATCTTTCCCACCCTGTCCCAAGTGCACAGGCTATGCCAGAATATAGCTCTATCTAAGCATATCTTCATTATAATCCTGTGATTCAAAACTGAACAGGCATAGCAGACATTAAAAGATGCCACCATTAGTGGCTTTGTTCTCACAAAACCCTGGAATCTTCTTGGTGATGGGTGGGTTAGAAATCGTATAAGCATGCAAGCAATTACCAGAGATGCTCAGGACCTCAAAAGTAGCAATGCCAAATGTGTGTGTGTGTGCATCTCCATTCATGTTGTCATGAACTGGCAGGACAATGGGGAGGAGGAAGAGGATCCCGGCAAGGGGTGTAGCCAGGACTGGGAAACACTGGGACAAGTGGGGGTGGGAAAGGGGAGGTTGGTGTAGGAAGTACTCATGGGGAGATGAGGGGGTGAGGGTCAGGGCACAGGAACCAGAGCAGCAGGACCTATCACCAGAGCCAGAGGGGCCCCAGTCTCCACAAATATGGCGGGCTCTGAGGCATAGGGAGCAGCAGGTGAGGTGCTCTAGGAGGCCGAGGTAGGTGAAGGCCCACAGCCCAGCTCCCTAGCTGGCCAGGTGGGTCTCACTAGCTCTGGGAGGAGCTGGGTGATTCCTCAGCTGGAGTAGGCTTGGAGCAGGTGAGAATCACCTGCCTCATCAAGCCCAGATGAGGCAATCAGCAGGAATAGTATAAAAGGGAAGCAAAGGTGAGGTGCAGTGGCTTCTCAACTGCCCATGTTGAGGGACCTTGACTTGGATGTTCCTGGACCACCATGGGACTGTGCTTTGGGTTTGACTCTGGGTTGAATCCTGACTGTTGAACTTCAGACTTGGCTACTTGCATTGACTCTGCGCCTCGTTTCCTGACCTTTGGACTTTGCTTGTGTGAATCGACCCTCAGACTTCGGACTTGGCCCACTGACTTGCTGCCAGGTAGGCCAGGGGTTTGGAACACATGTGATGCTACAATTGTACAGTGTAGAAGATATGGCTGTGCACACACAAATACTGATCTGGGACCAGAACTTTGGATTGCCACAAATATGATATGGGACAATCCAGGGCCGGCTTGACCCAGACAGAGGCCCTGAATTGATTTTGGGAGCCAGCCCTAGCGTTTTATTAGGATTTTAAATCCTAATTAAATGTGGTTGGAAGGGGGCAAAATGAGACACCCACCCCCTCGCAACCACATGTGTTAAGAGGGTTTTAAAACCTGCCTGACTGTCTCTACCTGATCTAACCAAAGCCCAATTAATTTTGGGATGTGGGCCTTGGTTAACTCATGAGCATAGTCCTAGTAGTGGTACTACTATAATCCCATACTGGCAAAAGCATGGAACCTATGTGTTGCATGTGGCTATCATGCATGTGTGTATCTAAAACTGAGTATTGCAAAGCCCATAGTGTAAGCTGCCATTCATAGCAGTTTACCAAACTGCACACACGGCAAAACACTTGCCTAGGCATTTGCCATGTGCAATGATTGCTATACACAAATGTTGC